CAGGTTTACTCACTTTTCTTAAGTAAAGTCAACTAATCGCTTTAAACGCATCAGGTTTACTCACTTTTTGATGTAAAGTGAACTAATCGCTTTAAAAGCAACAGGTTTACTCACTTTTCTTTTAGTTAAGTCAACTAATCGCTTTAAAAGTAAGAGGTTTACTCACTTTTTGATGTAAAGTCAACTAATCGCTTTAAAAGCAACAGGTTTACTCACTTTTCTTTTAGTTAAGTCAACTAATCGCTTTAAAAGTAAGAGGTTTACTCACTTTTTGATGTAAAGTCAACTAATCGCTTTAAAAGCAACAGATTTACTTACTTTTTTAAAGTAAAGTCAACTAATCGCTTTAAAAACAACAGGTTTACTCACTTTTCTTTTAGTTAAGTCAACTAATCGCTTTAAAAGTAAGAGGTTTACTCACTTTTTGATGTAAAGTCAACTAATCGCTTTAAAAGCAACAGATTTACTTACTTTTTTAAAAGTAAAGTCAACTAATCGCTTTAAAAGCAACAGGTTTACTCACTTTTCCTTAAGTAAAGTCAATAAATTGCTTTAAAAGCAGCAGGTTTACTCACTTTTCTTAAGTTAAGTCAACTAATCGCTTTAAAAGCAACAGGTTTACTCACTGTTTACAGTAAAGTCAACTGATCGCTTTAAACACAACAGGTTTACTCACTGTTTAAAGTAAAGTCAACTAATTGCTTTCAACACAACAGGTTTACTCACTTTTTGATGTAAAGTCAACTAATCGCTTTAAAAGCAACAGATTTACTCACTTTTCTTTAAGTAAAGTCAACTATTCGCTTTAAAAACAACATGTTTACTCACTTTTTGATGTAAAGTCAACTAATCGCTTTAAAAGCAACAAGTTTACTCACTTTTTTTTAGGTAAAATTAACTAATCGCTTTAAAAGCAACGTGTTTGCTCACTTGTTTGAGTAATGTCAACTTGTCACTTTTAAGGCCTCACTTTTTTTAAAAGTAACTAATTCTTTTTACAGTGTTTTGTTGTGCCGAAATATGTTTTGAGTCTCAGAAATCTCCTTTGCTGCAGGTTAGTTTTATAAACCTACAAAAAAATGCAGGATTTCTTTGGGTTTTGCTGTTCATTTCAAGTCATATAACAACTTGATTCTCCGCCTCAGATTGACGTGCACAGAAAACAAACATAATATTATATTGACAAGATCTGCAGTGTCATAAAAGTTCATTGAACCGACATATATGAGGATACCAGAATACTGCATGTGATTTATGAAACTAAAACAAGGAAACAAATCAATTCATTCCTAAAATTGTTGACATTGGCTGCAGTTTTCTATGTGTTGCATTAGATATGCGTGCAAGATTTTTATTCGTATGCTTCCATAATGAAGTCTTTGTAAAACTCTCCATGAGTAAGTTTTCCATTTGCAGATATTTTTTATAATAACTAAAACTGTTTAGGTCAAAGATGAAAAGGATTTAAGCATCAAAACAATAAAAGTTTGATAATTTCTATAGTTTTTTATTTATCCATCTGACAGCAAATTTTAATAATTTAAAAATATAAAATTTAGCATGAACATTGATTCTTCTCATTTATGTAATACAGGGCAGAATTAGCATTTTTGCATAAATAATACACTCAAAATAAAAAAAAGAAAATCAGCTATGGCTTTAAAAGCAGCAGGTTTACTCACTTTTCTTTAAGTAAAGTCAACTAATCGCTTAAAAAACAGCAGGTTTACTAATTTTTCTTTAAATAAAGTCAACTAATCGCTTTAAAAGCAACAGGTTTACTCACTTTTCTTTAAGTAAAGTCAACTAATCGCTTAAAAAACAGCAGGTTTACTCATTTTTCTTTAAATAAAGTCAACTAATCGCTTTAAAAGCAACAGGTTTACTCTCTTTTCTTTAAATAAAGTCAACTAATCGCTTTAAAAGCAGCAGGTTTACTCTCTCTTCTTTAAATAAAGTCAACAAATCGCTTTAAAAGCAACAGGTTTACTCACTTTTCTTTAAATAAAGTCAACAAATCGCTTTAAAAGCAACAGGTTTACTCACTTTTCTTTAAGTAAAGCCAACTAATTGCTTTTAAAGCATCAGGTTTACTCCCTTTTCTTTAAGTAAAATCAACTAATCGCTTTAAAAGCAGCAGATTTACTCACTTTTCTTTAAGTAAAATCAACTAATCGCTTTAAAAGAAGCAGATTTACTCACTTTCCTTTAAGTAAAGTCAATCAATCGCTTCAATAACAGCAGGTTTACTCACTTTTCTTTAAGTAAAGTCAAATAATCGCTTTAAAAGTAATAGGTTTACTTCATTTTTAAAGGTAAGCTCAACTAAAACTAAACCTGTTTAAAATTATTGTTCCCATATTTTTACATTTTATTTTTACATATTTGTTTAATCATCAAAGCAGTCACCTGCATTTATTTTTATAAAATTACTTGTATTTAATTTGATATAGACACCAAAATAGCAGAGTTTTCTGATAACGTTTCCCATTTGGTGTATTTGGTGTAAGAACCAAGTATGAAAATTAGAAAAATATTCATTTTTTAACGCAACTATTAAAATAACCTATAAATAACCAATACAGAACATATTGTAATTTTTAGAACATTATTTCAAAACCCTTTAAAAAGTAGAAGCATGTAACAAAACAAAACTTTTCATAACTATAACTAGTCTGTTATGTTCTACAGAAATCCTGATAAAACGTCAAATCAGTCAACGTGCATGGTGAGATAAACACAAATGCAATTCTAAAAACAATAGCTAAACATTCAATCACATATCACAAAATATCAACAACTAAACAATTTCATGTCCCTTATAAATCCACAAGAGGTCGCCAAAGCAGCAGATGAGCAAAATTATGTGCTTAGGAAACTAAAAGGAAAAACTAAATGTCTTAAAGGCCTACAATTGGTTGATCTGCTTAAATCACAATTTTCTTTCTTCAGAAAAAGTCCTGTTTGGTTAATGGGAGTGACGAGTTCTGCTTACTCAAAGTTTTGTAAATATTAGTTCATGTTTATATATTTTTTTCAGGTGACGCAGTTTGACAGTAGGTAGTGCTGTCACCTTACAGCAATAAGGTCGGTCGTTGGTTCGTGCCTCGGCTGGCTCAGTTGGCGTTTCTGTGTGGAGTTTGCTTGTTCTCCCTGCGTTTGCGAGGGTTTCCTCTGTGTGCTCCGGTTTCCCCCACAGTCCAAAGACATGCGGTACAGGGGAATTGGGTAGGCTAAATTGTCCGTAGTGTGAGTGTGTGTGTGTGTGTGTGTGTGAATGTTTTCCAGAGATGGGTTGCGGCTGGAAGGGCATCTGCTGCATAAAAATATGCTGGATAAGTTGGCGGTTCATCCCAATGTGGCGACCCCGGATTAATAAAGGGACTAAGCTGAAAACAAAATGAATGAATGTTTCTTTCAAGGCTACTGCATATTTTAAGTCTTCAAATGGGTTGATGGATGGATGGAACAAATGATGCAGAGATACTATACATTTCATGCAAAAATATTGCAAAAAAAAAAAAATACAAACTACAAAATTTCAACTAAATTTTATCTCTTCTTTGCTTTTTTTGATTTTTCCTTTTTTTCCTTTTTTTTTTTTTTAATTTAAGATTTTCCCCTAACATACATATTTGGGTGTACTAGTTTCTGTAACGTTATCATAAGTTATTTTGTTATATTATTATTATGTTAGGCTATATGCTGAGCACTGTAGATTAATGGACAGACAGACAGACAGACAGACAGACAGACAGACAGACAGACAGACAGACAGACAGACAGACAGACAGATAGATAGATAGATAGATAGATAGATAGATAGATAGATAGATAGATAGATAGTCAAAATTTGTTGTTACACAATTTGTCCACAAGAGTCCGTCAGAGGCTAGTGCAAACCTCGTTGTTGTCATAAAATTACAATTTTTTCACGTTTCACTATTCTTTTTCTGATATTAGTGTTTGATGAAAATTGAATAATGTGGTCTAAGTTTAAATGTTAGTAAAAGAAAGCCATTTTCAAACATTTTGCTATACCAAATGATGTTTCTGTAGAATTATAGATTCATGCCCAAACAGATAGATAGATAAATAGATAGATAGATAGATAGATAGATAGATAGATAGATAGATAGATAGATAGATAGATAGATAGATAGATAGATAGATAGATAGATAGATAGATAGATAGATAGTCAAAATTTGTTGTTACACAATTTGTCCACAAGAGTTCGTCAGAGGCTAATTAACAGTGCAAAACTTGGCGTTGTTGTCAAATAAAATTACAAATTTATCACGTTTTATTCTCTTTCATTGTTTGATATTTCAACTGTTCACTATCATATTTGATATAAAGTTAGTGAGTTGTTTATGAAGCAGTTTGTCCATGTCAACTCTTCACCTGACCACTTTATCTCTGGCTTTGTTGCAATAGCAAACATTTCCTAATTCCACAACAAAATGTGACTGACTTTAAGTGTAGAAACTAAAATAAATCGAGGGCCGAATTAGCTAAGTTTTGTAGTTTACATATTTATTTTATCTGGAGGAAATTAACTAACTGGGGATGAAAAGGTCGATACGCAAATCCATGGGTTTGTTTACAGTCCACAGTGAACAAAATGGAGGCCGTTTCTTGATAAAGGCGTTAAAAGCTCTTAGTTTTTAAGCATGTGACCAAACTAGAATTGTTTTAAATACTCTAAATGATGTGAATAACAATAACATATCGCTATAAGTGTGTCGTTTTAATTAGTAGTCTCTAGAATTAAAACATATATACACCGTGTCCAGCTGTTCTACATATTTAGCTAACTTTCTGATGAATAACCTGCCTGGTGAACACCCCAGCATTATCCATCCAATCAGAGGGCGTATTAATCCGCGCGCTCGCTTTGTGCTAATGGGCCGCAGCCTGAGCACGCGTGCGCGGAGGGATATTTGAGGGACTACACCCTGTGGAGCAACCGGGACTCTTTCTTTACCGCTCAAACTCACATTAGAGAAGGGGGGCGTGTGGGACGTTCAGATATCCTGCGAGCTTAAACCGAAACGGCACCAGGCTGTCCGCATCGTCGTCTTTAAGTTGCAAGTCAACCGGTGTGCGTTTGAGAAGAAGGCAAACATGTCGTGGGCAAGCTACGTGGAAAACCTGATGTCGGACGGATCGTGCCAGGACGCCGCCATTGTTGGGTGCACCGCGGAGGCTAAATACGTTTGGGGAGCGCAGGAAGGGGGAACATTCGCAAACATCACGGTAATTAAGTGTTTTTAATTCACTCCTTGTGTTTTAGGTGTGTTTAGCCTGTGGATGTGTTTCAGTAACTAGTAAGCTGCCTAAGTAGACAGCGCATAGGCGCGGACTATAATGCGCCTCAGTACTGGTGTCTGTTTGAAACCAACGGACAAAAAGAAAAATGTCGTTTAATTAAAAATTTTAAACCGCATGTTATTTCATAGCGCGGGAATATTGGTTATAAACGCGCTAAAATGATGCTACTGCTCTTATAAGCAGTATTCGTAATCAGCTTTTTAGGTTATAGGCACACGTCCAGCGTTTCGATCAACCTGTCAGCCTCTTTATTAAAAAACCAGGCCCTCGGCATACATATTGCTGACTACACTACATTAAGTCATTTATTATGATTTCAATCTGAATATTCTTTTCTTTATGTTATGTACTATGCCAGATCGTCAAGGTTAGCTCTTTGTAGTCGATTACAGATTCATGCGCTTGAATATCAAGCGTTGAACGTCTTGGAGACGTTAAATATTTTACAATGTTTGAAAGGAAATGTGTTTTCAGTCAAAAATAAACGGATGAATTGTTGTAAAATGCCGATTTTTATCAACCGGTCATATCTGAAAATCACCAGTTTACGCACATGCACTTGTACGCGGGAACGTGCGCGTCATTCACCCGCGGAATGTGCGTAAGATCATTCTAGAATACGGAAAACATGCCGCTCCAGCTCTCTTCCTGTTGTCCAAGATGGCGCTCCATAAATGGGTGTTAAAGGGGAAGCTCTGCAATAAAAAAATCAATTTACGCGCCCTCACGTTTTTTCAAACCTTCCTGAATTGTCCTCAAGATGTTTGAAAAATGTGATTTCATCGATGGCCATAGTAGAGGAAAATACTTTAAATCAGTGGCTACAAAATTCCTATTTTCTTCAATTTTCTTTTGTTCGCCTTAATATTTACCCTGTTTGAGTTTTACTTTAGGTGAAGTTAAGTTTATATATTCACAATTTCGGACTTTCTCCTTAATAATTTAGTTAGAAAAAAATCTTTGCAAATATTAAATGGTGAAATCATATTAGCAGCCAAAGACTTTCAAAGCACAACATTTTTCAGTCAAATAAATAGGACTGATGTTGTTTTAGAGTCATACTTGCCTGTGGTTTTCAGACAGAATATTCAAAGTAGCATGGTAAACAATATTAGTAGCTTGTCACTGAATGTGGGGGAAAAATAAAAATTTGTGTGTATATATATATATATATATATATATATATATATATATATATAAATATATATAAATAAAACCAACTCCCTCAATGGGGAAAATTACTATTTAAAAATGTCTAACCTTGTAAATTTTTTTTTTTAATTGCTCCTATTTAATAGGCAGCTCTTAATAGCTGTTTTGCTTGTGGGGTTGGTGAATTATGTAAACATCAGATTTGGTAACCGTTAGAGATGGGCTTGTATAAGATTCTGACGGTGTGATAACCTTGATTAAAAAATATCACAGTTTCCTTTCCCCCTTTGAACAGAAAATATTTTATTTTGAGAAACCTTTATAATGTTTTAGTGCAGTAAACATGTCAGGCTAAATTATTCAAATGAATCAGCAACTTCTGATGTCATCTTTAGTTTTTAAAATACCGATTTCTTTATCTTACAAAACGGCATCTTTGGAAATCTTTTCTGCTGGAGGTACTGTTGTACTAAAAAAAAAAAAACTTTTAAGGTACAAATACCTTAGGAACAGTATAGCAGAATATTTGGTGGCTTTAAAACCTTGGCTTTTTCCAAACCGAGTTATACCTTACCGTCCCATACCTATAACGGGTAAAGAGATAGTTTATCTAAGAGAAAAATAAATTCTAGATATCACCGTTGCTTTGGTTTTGTGTGTTTTCTTGCATTTATCAAAATACAAACTCCACTCTCCTAAATCATACTGGGTGGAAAATTAGTAAGATTAGGCTGATGACTGTCAAATGTTCTTCTTGATCGAATTGCTGAAGCTTTTATACAATATTATAATTAACTTGCCTACGAAAATGCACAAGAGCATGCACATCACTTTAAATAGGTGCTCAGCCAAAAATGAATGCCAAAATCTATATTTAAAGTCGGCAACACCAGTGCTAATTTATTAAATTTGAAAAGCCAAACTAGCTGATGAACAGGCGGTCTGCTTGAAACGTTACACTTTTTTTGTATTAGGGTTGCACAATACTGGAATTTGGTACCAGTCAATACTGACATTTTAAAAATGTCCCATTTCCCGCTAGCATTTGAGCGCTACTGAGCACGTTCTTTAACAGCGCTGATTTGCCATTGTGTTCGCCTTCTCAACAGAAATTACTGTGATTGGCCAGAAGGTCATAAGTTCAAACTCTGCACTGTTAACTGGGTGTAACCACAGATACAGGGACACTGTTGAGCATGTGAACACAACAGCAAATAGGTGCTGTTTATGATTGTGCTCGGATGTTTGCAGGAAATGGATGTTTTTATTATCCCTTGGTACCGAATTCCAGTATCGTTTGACCCTACCTTTAATATCAACCTTTTAAAATTTAATAAAATGGCATTTTTTGAGCTATTTGCGCTACATTTGACAATTTTTATTGTATGCATTTCTAGAGTAAACCAATGTTTTAAACAAATTAAATTAGCTTAAGTACAATGGTACAGAATGTTAGTTGCAACTAAAAATATAACTGATAGGCTCAATTTAAGACCAACTTTAAATGTTAAATTCATTAAGTAGATTTCTTTAGTTTACCAAATTCAGCTTCAAGCCCAATTTATACTTTGACTTCAAGTGATCACTGCATCCATAGAATATCCTCTGCATGTAGCCCATTTGAGCTATTTATGAACATGTTTCTCTGCTATAAATTTTCAGAAAAGTTTCAGTGTTCATTATTTTGAGTTTCTTCAGCGGTGTTTTGAGTGTACACCAAAAATGCATGCAACTGTAACAGAAGTTGAAACTCTCACACATTCAAGAAAGCAAAAAGGCAGGAACTGGCAAATGTTCAACAACTTTGATCATAAAATAAACAATCAAAGTATGTCCGGAGCTCCTCAGTGGACTCTAGATTTAACCACTGGTGGCACCCGTGTTGCCCCGCCCACAATTGTCAAATACAAGGTGGCAAATCATAGCTCTTGCACTGCAATATATATTTATTTATTATTTTCTTCAGAGCCTTTTGGATTCATACAAAGCATCACCTTCATTCCAGCATAAATCAAAGAACTTTGCTGACCCTACCATGGCTGCAGCAGACACCATATTATAAAGCGTCTGACAATAGTCCCTAGTCAGGTAACTTCCAACATGACCACCTGCTTGCACAGGGTGTGTCTGCTGGTCCTGCTCTGTAATATTGCACCTGCTGCAGCCACGGCTGATTTTACTTTGTTTTTTGTAATATGCAGTATGCAAAAACAGGCATGTGCATATATTAGGCTTTTTTTGTGTGTGCACATTGTATGGTTCCTGTGATCATGGAAATAAGTTTAGATGATGATGTTAAAGGTTAGTTAACTAAAAAAATCCAATTAAGTAATTTACTCTTTTGGCTTTAAGCCCTTTTTTTTTTCTATATGCAAGATATTTTAAAGAATGCTGGTTTGGCAGCCATTGACTAATTGAGCATTTAAAGTCTCATGCTTTCTGAGGTGCGGTTCTTGTTGCACAATGCTATTGTTGTATTCTTATAAACGACAAAATTGCTCACTTATTCTGACATTTTGCTGGCAAATTTAGCAAGATATTGATTGTCTGCATAAACTAATACGTTAAATTTATCCTTTTTTAAAAATGTGTGCATTTAGTATTAACAAACAATGCAATGGTGGGCTACAGGATTAATGTTTTTTTTTTCCACAAAGAAAATTCCTAAAATTCTTGCCTGGGCTTTACTAAAACTTTACTGTTGCGTAAACATTATTTACATTTTAAAGTTAACTTGCATAGCTATCGACTACGCGTGCATACATTTGGGTTCCCGCTATGCAGTGAGATTGGAGAAGTTGTTGTTTACCAACTTCCTTATTAGCAGTAATTCCCAAAGATTAAAGGTTCTGAGGTTTAGATAAACCAAATTGTGGATGTAAGGCGTTTCCCTGCTAGTCCCAGCTCATTACTGCTACGTCATCCTAAACCTGTAAGACTACTTCTGTTGAGGCCTGACACTGTTAGTCATGCTGGTTTGCAGAGAGCCAATTGTGCCTCTGAGTTTCCTGCATAATGCCTTGAACTCATTCTTGGCTAGGAGAGAAGTTAAACTTCAGACTCTGTTTGTCGCCAAACAACTGCTCCAAAATCTTGCTGGAAATAACACCAGCTCCTGAATCCTCATCAGTGTTGAGCTGCTTTTAGTTTTATTTGGTTTGACCTCAGGGTAAACCATGGGAGAAACACAGCCAGAACAAACAAAGCTATGCAGAGCAAGTGACAAAAAAATCTTGGGAGGAAAAACTACACGTTCAGACTTGATCTGTGTGGCGTTTAACATAAAACCATTGTTTGTTATGATTAATACTTCTAGTTTAAGGGTTTGGCTGAATATTTCCCACCGTCGTCTTACCGAAGCTCCTTTTTAGGATGATGATCTTAAATCACCTTCATCACATTCCAGAAATATCCATTGAAGGTTTCAGAGGACTCTAAAAATACACTTCTGTTTTTGTTGTTTAATGATTAAACTGGAGCACTTTGCTTTCGTTGGAGGAACTACACGATCAAGCATTGGAGTAAATGTACAATTGAAATTCCATTTTAATGTGTTAAGTTCCTCTTTTCAATTGTAACTTTCTTAATCATTTATAATTTGAAGTGTGAAAATTAACAATTGCATAGCTTAATATGAAATAAGCCAAAGCAATGTGTTTGTGCGCTGATAATTTTTAAAAATGAGATTTAAAAGCATGCATTGGGTGAAGTCTGTTTGCATTTTCGGTGGGGAAATTGCAGATATAAAAGTTGTATGTACTGGGACAGTTGGCAGGGTGAATATTTAGTAATTTAATTGTTAAATTTGTTTAATCAAATAAAAACCTAACTTTAGACTTTGATTGTGAAGTCTACTTGCTTTCACAGCGTATTTACTTTTAAAAGCTAATTATTTGGTCACTTGAATTTTGTAAATCCCTTTTTCTTCTAGCCTACAGATTATATTTAGCAAATTCCTTCATTTACGTGTTTTTTTTTTAAATTTATTTTACATAGCTACAGTTTACCCTTTTAATAGTTTCATTTACCTAGTGGCTCAACGTGCTACTAATGACTTTTTGAGACTTTGTCTATAGTATTTTTATTTTTTAATTTTTTTTTTCTCCCCGTTTTGATGCATGTTGACTGTTTCTTTAACTTGCATGTTAATTTTTTTTTAATGAGTTGTCGCATGCAGCAGAGATGTTTTTCTGCAGTATACACTACTAGACAAGTCTGGTTGTCGATGCCATTTGTAAGAGCGACCGTTAAAACTTCTAGTTGATCATTTGTAAAAGTGCGTTCCAATCATCACAAATACTGCAGAAGACCAACTGGAACCCACATGGACCCAAGATTCTTACAGATATCAGCCGAGTTTGGTGAAGGAGAAATCATGGTTTGGGTATACATTCAGTATGGGACGTCTGATCTGCTGAGTGGATGGCAACCTCAACAGCCTGAGGTATCAAGACATTTGTGCTTCCCGTTACATTACAAACCACAGGAGAGGGCAAATTCTCCAGCAGGATAGCGCTCCTGCTCATACTTCAGCCTCCACATCAAAGATCCTAAAAGCAAAGAAGGTCAAGGTGCTCCAGGATTGGCCAGTCTAGTCTCCAGTGACCAGACTTTTGTCTAAACAAAGTCAGACCTCACTTTCCTAATAAACCCGTAAAAATCAAGACATGATAATATTTTATTGTGCTCAAATAAGTGTAATCTAGAGGCCTTTGCCTTTCATATAAGCCACTTCTGATGCCAAATGATCAACTAGAAGTGCAGTTATTTGTTCCTAAAACTCGGATAGACAAAAGACTTGTCAGGTAGTGTAAACCCTTAAAACGTAGCATATTAACAGTATGGATGTTTTTCAGCTGACTTGAGTTGTAAATCAAAAATGATTTTGCGGAAAGGGAGATCAACATGTTGGCTGTAGGGAAGAGTTTGTAAACTATTAGTAATTCACTGTATTTAGTTTTTCTTTATCAAAATTGATTTTACTTTTTTAAAGTTATCTTCTTACTTGTGTAAAGGCAAATTCCATATCTGTGTTACTAGTTGGTTACATGTTCAAAGTGCACAACACCAGGCTCCACATGTCTGCAGATTATCAAATTATCTGCTAGTCTTTTACTGCACTTACCCACAACTATTCATTAATACTTGTACTACAGGACCGTTAAATGCTCTATGCTGATGGAACATTTCAAGGTGATCTGTTATTTTCAAATAAATGCATCACTGAAATGGTTCCGTTTTGCATGCAATGCAGTTCCTGAATGATTTATTTCGTAGCTAAAATGGTCAATCACATCAGAATGCTTTGAATGAGCCGTGTAAAAAAACTTTTGGTACATACAGGAGCTGTTGAGGACAAATGTCTAAAATACAACATCTAAGAAGTAGCTTTAGGTTTGCTAATCTTAGTATAAGAATTATAATTCACTAAAATATGTGACACTGGAAGAATATAATGCCGCATGACCACCTCAAGTGTGCATTATTTTAATTCAACGCACCAGTCAATTATTCCTTGCTTAATGTGAAGACTAGACACGTCAATTACAGTTCCACTTTTTTAATGTTTTCTCTTATCCTCAGCCCACAGAAATCGATGTGCTTGTAGGCAAAGACCGACAGAGTTTCTTCACCAATGGCCTGACTTTAGGTTCAAAGAAGTGCTCTGTTATTCGGGACAATCTGACAACGGAGGGTGACTGGACGATGGACATCAGGACAAAAAGTCAAGGAGGAGAGCCGACCTACAACATCGCTGTTGGCAAAGCAACCAAAAGTAAAACTGCTTTCTTGTTTTATTGCAATAAGCCTTGATGAGTGACTTCATAGTGTTTTATCTATTAGTGATAGATGGATAATCTAGGACTGTAGATGTCATCCTTTCCTTAATATATACATTGTCCATGCATACTAACTATTTGGTCGTGAAATTGATAACTTTTTATTATTATTATTATTTGTTAATTTTTTTTTTATTATTAAAATGGAAGACGTAAAGCAAGTAAATGCTTCAATCCAGTGCTGCTGTAAATCCAGGTATTTAAGAGCAGCATTAAAGGAGGAAAATATTTATTATTTTTAATTTTAAATGACGTGCTTTGGTCATATTTCATCCATCTATTTATTTACCACTCTGTACCCAATTTATTTTTGTAGTTACACCTAATAATCATAAACAAAAGCATAGAAACTCTGACATGAAGCTGGGTTAGCTGACTAGCCAGTTAAATTTCAGATTGGTTTGCACCAATCTTGGGTTTTAGGTTATTTAAAGTCATCTCACTCTTTGCCATGATGATACAAAGCCTCTTAACTACCTTCATGTTAACCCAGAACAGGTACAAACTTAAGTGGCTAGCCAGCTAATCAGGCTTTATGGTACTAGCCCCGATTCTGGTTTATGTAAAGAGAAAGATGTATTGGCGAAGAATCATTTTGCAATCGACTTGTTACTCCCAGAATTTTATTGGGATGTCACTAAAGATTCTCATCCCTTTATCGCAATGTCAGATTTTTCCAATATTGTGCAGGCCTAGTCGAGACCATTTGATACAGCAATTTGTAAACTACATATGCCAGGGGAGTTGGTAATAGTTTAATTGCACACTGTGCTATTAACTAATAAGTCTAAGGGAGATTATGGTAGCCTACATGTAAAGATGATTTTAAGAATCCAAATATTTGGAAATCAAGAAACCTTTTTCTTGAGCAAAAAAAAAAAAGTTTTAATAAATATGGCAAAATTATATAGCAAATATAAAGCAAAATACTCTGTGGGGTAAGCAAAATAAGCCTGACATATACACCAGTGTTGTCAAAATATTGAGGTTTTGATATCTGTTGATACTGGAATATTTTAAACGATACAATCTTGCTTTTGCTTGGTATTGATGCATTCGGCAAGCTGGCATGTTCTGAAGTCCCATGACCAATTTTGTTTTAAGGTATTTAATGTGAACAAATAAACAAGTTAAATGTTCAAATCAATTGAATTTAGAGACAATTGAAAGGCCAATATTGAGAGGTTAGTAACTGCTCCCGTTTCAATATCAGCAATGCTTTAAGATGGCCAAGAAAAAATTGCTTACTGTAGCTTTTTTTTTGGTCTTGTTTTTAGTCCAAATATGTAAATTCTTAAATCAAGAAGCATTTTCTATAAAAACAAAAATATTGTCCTTTTTATTAAGAAACGTTGTTTAAGTGAGAAATAATCTTGACATAAGATTTTTGCTCTTACCCCATTAAGTACTTTGCTGTAACATTTTGCATATATATATATATATATATATATATATATATATATATATATATATATATATATTATTATTTTTTTTTTTTTTTGTCTAGAAAATGCTTATAGTACATGCATATAAAAAAATCTTTAATCAAGTGAATGTGTTCTACCATAATCTTTGTGGGTTTTTTGGGGGGGTAATAAAACCACCAACAAACACCCTTGCATATGTAGTTTACAAATTGCAGTGGGAAATATCGACTACACAATATTTTGAAATCTGTTTTGTTTTGCTGCAATATGACTTTCACTTGATTATTTGGGAAGATTTCTTCATTTAGAATGAATGAGAAATCTTTATGCAGTGCATCTGCATAAAATCTAATAAATTACAAGCATGCATAAATACGACTGGGCAAAAACAAAAGGTATATGAGTTGCGCTTTATGGTTTGCTGTGAAGTCAAACCATATTTGAGTTGGGTTGCATGGTTTACCGGTACTATGGTAGTATCGTGATACTATAGCTCAAATACTGCCGGTGCTGCTGTAGGTATAATTTATCTATTTAATTTTTTTTTTTTTTTTATTGTTTTTTACTCTTATCTACAAATTGAATTAATTTTAGGTGGTGGCTTGCAAATATTATTTCTCAATAAGAGAATTATAAAGTAACTTTTAAAATAGGCCAATTATAACATTGTTTTCTTTATAATTTGAGTTATGAATTTACAATATCACCTCACTACTTCAGCTGATATAGTATCGTGACATGATTTAATGGTATCGTGGCCATTCTAATTCGAGCACGGAAATTGAACAAATGTAAAACAAAATGGCCATTGTATAAATAAAAAAAATATATATTCTTCTGCGACATGGCTATTGCGAATACACGCATTGCTCAAACAATATATTGTTCACCCCTAGTATTTACTATCAATATTTTAAGGCTTCATATCGAAGTTAGTTATTCCAGTAACACAAATATACAATGCAGGCTACTATAATGGTTAAACTGCCTGCCTTAGGTCAAAACTATAGCTGTTGACACCTCACCATTACAGTTAATAAGTTACTCGCATTCTTTCCAAGGGTTAATTTCCCTCTCAAATTACCATCATATTTAACCAATTGTATTTAGAGGACAGATTTCCCTTTGTGATGTTACACAACATTTAGGTACTTGCAAATACACCCAGCTAATTCATTAATGCCAGTTGATTTGATTTAAATAAATAAAAAATACTAATAACAATACATATATTTTTCCCTAATTATTCTGTTGACATATATTCTACATAAGGCCCTAAATCTCTACTCTATTTTGTGGTTGAAATATGACCTAAGCATTTGTTTGACAGTCAAAAGGCTTGTCTTTTTAGTAAAAAAAAAAAAAAAAATGATTTTGCATACCCAAGTAATGTTTGTTCTCAATCTCTCTGAGTTAAAGCGTGGTTCAGGAAGTGTGTGTGTGTGTGTGGACCTGTACACATTCATTCGCACTAATGCATGCATTTACAGCTAATGTCACTCTTGAAGATGCGAGAGGATTTCCTTTTTCCTGAAATAAAGCACTCTTTCTTTCTTCTACTTCATGGCATGTTGAGACAAACTAAACTTGCTTTTCTGGCTTGATCTAGTAAGAAGCATTGAAACCCTCGCATGCTGGAATCTTTTGCTAACACCTTGAAGCTTTTTCAAGAACTCGCGTTTCTAAAATTTAGATTTGCTCACTGATGGACCTGAATACCTCTGATTTTTCTAAGACATAGCTGTAGGTCTTTATTGCGTTAGTTTCTATTAAGCCAAATTATTTTGGTTATTTCTTAGGGTGCTTTCACAACTGTTGAAAGATGGTTTTGTTCTAAAACCGGGATTAAAATTGGTACAAGGTTTGTTTTTTGTTCTTTCTTGGTGCGCATTCACACAGCAGAGTTTCTAAACGGACTAAATTAGTTCAAATTAGTTGAGTCATTTGTTGCATTTAATCAGAGTTTTAGGGTTTAATTTTTAGTTGCCTGAATTTCGCTCGCCTGTCATCATTACTTAAATTTATGATAATTAGCAATAAGACGCGCTATATATTAGACACAAGGTGCGCTTTAATTTTGACACCCACAGAGATCGTCACCATTTAATCCATCAATCTATTAAAAACGTTAATCTGCCAGAATCCTGTATTGGGCTTAAATTATAGAGTGAAATAACAGATGAACAGAGACTGCAGTCACATCCTGAAGTAGATCAATATTGATCTTTCTTTCAAAGTGCACAAATAAACAAAACAATAGGCCTAAAACAAAATTAGAAAATTTTTAAATAAGAAAAATATTATATAATAAGGGTAATTTCCGTTAGTTTTCTTAACGGATGAACGGCACTATGTAATTCCGCATGCTTTCACTTTTGTATTCAACATGAAGTGCACATTTAACTGTAGGAATGACATCCCGCCCTACTCTGTCTCCCTTTATACAGACATGTATATATGGTCATTAGCCTACATAACCTTACTACACTGTGATGTTGTGTTTTTTTTTTTTTTTTTTTTTAAGCCTGGTTCATTAGATTGTATTTCTTTCTCGCTACACTTGATCTGCTCCAGAGTTAGTTTCAATCAGGTTAAGACCACCTCATTCAGGCGATCTCGGACCTATTGATTTTCAGATGCCAAATGAACCACACTAACTGGGCAAACAACAGGTTCTAACTGGGCAAACAACAGGTTTTGAAACAAACGCCTAGGTGTGAAAGCACCCTTAAAGGCCTACAGCGTTGAACTATTATTAATAATAATAAAGCAAATTATTACTTTTTATAGCATGTTGATTTTTCTTTTCTTTTCCTAAAGTGGTATAAAATTTCTATATCTTTTTTTTTTATAGAAAATATAACAACATTATAATGGAAAAAAAGAATGATCTTCATTTCTAATGGCAAAAACTAATAATAATAATAATAATAATAATAATATGTTGGCTATTAAAAATGTTTAGCAGAATCAAATGGAGATCTTTTCTTTGCATGCATGTTGATCTTGATCTATTTTCTGCTTTTCCTGTCTGGCGGTGTTGATCTTGGTTTGGCTTTTTTCCAGAGCTGTTATTTTTTCCCTGTCCTCTTAACTCTCTTTCTGTCTTTTTCTTTCAGTCTTGATTCTTGTTATGGGAAAAGAAGGGGTCCACGGAGGCGGCTTGAATAAGAAGGCATTTTCAATGGCAAAATACTTAAGAGATTCAGGCTTTTAGGTTTTTTTCTTTAGTACGATTTAGGTAAAAAAAAAAAAAAAAAAAAAGGAAAAGTCACATACGTTCCCAAGTTAAGCTGTGAAGAGGTTTTTTTTTTTTTTTTTTGTTTCCCCATCTTCTTGAAATGTTTTTAAAGTTTTTGGACATTTAATGTCAAGGAAGGATAATTAATCTTGTCAACAACCAATTTTAAGTTGGGAAAGTGTTTCTCTTTCCCCCTCAAGTGTTGATTTTTGTTCCTATTTTTTTTTCCTTGTACTCCAGCATTGATTATGGTCAAGGGCAAGGAAGGTATCCATGGAGGGCAGCTCAACAAGAAAACGTATACCATGGCTGAATACCTGAGGAGATCTGGATATTAATACACCCTCCAACATAGCTGCTCATTCTTATCACCGCTAACCTCTTTCAATGAGATTTGCTCCATTTATTGGATTCAAAATCTACCTTTATTTCTGTACCCCCCCCCGCCCCCCCCCGTATTCAATAGTGTTTGGCACTACAGTTTCATTGTGAAACAACATGGTAAAACATTGGCGTAAAGACTTCATCTTGGGTGTTTAGTTAATTATCAAGGGCGAAAGGTCGATTTGTATGCATATCTGAAATCTTGTTGAAGGCACACTAGTTTAGGGTAGACAACACATTCAATGAACAGGAATGGTTAAATATGGCACCTGCACTAACACATTTCTGGTTTCCTCATAGCCGGTCATTTATATAATCTGATTAGTTGGGTTTGTTTATTGGAATTTGGGCTGCAGGTAACATTTTTATTAGTTTTTCTTCCCCTATCAGCTGTGTCGGTCTTGTTTTAAATCTTAATGGTCAACTGTATGCATATTTTCAAACTTATGTAATAGACCTAGTTGGGGTGGACCACATTTATTGGATAAAACAGTAAATATGATGTCAGCACTTAGAAAATGTGAACAAATTTGGGTTAAAGAGTTATAATCCGGCTCTACCAGAACGATTTAAAAATCATTCCCCTTTTTGAATGTCTATTAGGAGATATAGTTGACCATTGGTTTATGGGTTGCAGAGAATTATTTTTTTTTTCCCCCGTTAGCCCTGACTTTCTAGATTAAAACTGCAAAAAGACAACCGTGTTTATATATGGCTTTAAGCCTATTAAATAGACACTAGTCAGGGTGGACTACATGATTAATGGATTTAAAAAAAACTAATGTCATCTTATCAATTTAAATATAAAAATTTATGAGAACCCATCTTCTTGTTTTTCATTTGGTGCTTTTGGCACTACCTGGCTTATTCTTTCCATTTATCGCAAACATCCATTGATTTAGGATTTTTAGTGTTCTAGTTGGGTGACCATTGGGATTTTTGAGTATTGTTAACCATTAGCCCAAGAGGTCGACTGTATTTGAGCCTATTGAATGTATCCTAGTCATGGTGGAACATGTTTAACATTGAAAAAAAAACTACACCTAAAGTCCATTTCATCAAAGCATTAACACTAAAATATATTTTATTGTACTTTTTACACCCTTTAGCCCTCATTTCTAGACCAAATATGTGCAAGCTTGAGCCCAAGTCAGTGTGGATGCCTTATTTAACTCTTTTTGTTCATTTAAATGTCGTCTACTCCTACAAATATCCATTTTATTTGAGTTACCCAAAGTTTGTCATCTTCTTTTTGACGGTTTAGCACTACTTTGCTATCACTAGCATCCATTAATTGGGATTTTAAGTCAAATACTTGGGTATACATGAAGTTTTGAGCTGCATTACATTTATACTACCAACAGCTTTCGTTTTTAGACCAAATCTGGGAATGTTTGTTTGCATAATTTTGAGCCTACTGAATGGATCCGAGCTATGCTGGACAACATATTTATTAGACAACACAATTAAATATGGCGTCTGCTGGCGCTCAAGCTCTACCTGAATGATAATATTCCTTCCCTTCATCATGAACACCCATTAATCAGGAGGTTGAGTGCTATACTCGGTTGCCATTGGGCTACGGTAGCATTTTATTTTTATTTTCTCTCCCCATCAGCCACAGAAATTGAATGTTCATGTACATTCCTTCATTGCACTTACTTAGCTAGCTTATATAATATGTATTTTTAACTTTTCCATTTCACAACCTGTTCTTCCCCAGTGTATACGCTTGAGGTTTTGTCCGTCGGACCAATATTTGTCACTCCTTTGGGGTTTTTTACGCACTACCAATGAAACATTAGCGTCTGGTTTTGTCAGCTCTATCAAGACTTGAATTTACCGTACATGGAAAACAAAAATTATATATTGCCTTCGATTTGTCAATGGTTAAACTGTCTGCTGTTTCATCAAGTCCAAATGTTGAATAAGTGTGTGACACTCCAATCATAACGTGTGTCCTGTGCCATAATGTCGAGAGGATCTGTTGTTATCGTTGATTCAAACAGCTTTCCGGATGATTCTGTGTCTCCTTTTTGTTCAGGGGGTTTTGGGATCAACAAATGTTCTGGGACGTTTGTCAAAACCTCTTCTTTTCCCCTCTACTTTTTCGTACATCTTGGACACCGTCTGATTTCATACGCATAAACCAAGAAATGCCATACATTTAATTTCACCACCTTGTTTACAGACAGATTAAATAAATCTATTCCAACCAAATGACTTGTCGGTTTCATTTGTTTATTTGATTGTTTTTTTTTCCTTTTGTAAATCTCTTTTTGGTGGGAAAAGATGGATCTTAATGGTCATAATGTCCGTTGGTACAAAATTGACTTCATCCAGTGTCCCATTCTGCACAACCTTTAGCTATTTGGTGGTTTTTAATGAAGTCTTTTTTTAAGCTTCTGTCACACTTGACTTTTCTTCCCATGCACTTCCATTTTATATGCATTGTGAATGTGTCAGAGTGAAATGCAAGGTCATGCTGCAAGCTTGAACTTTACAACTCTGCAAAACTTGAAGTCTGACCTGTGAAATCGCTTCACTTGACTGCATGAGACCAATCAAGGATCAAAACATGACCTGTCTGGACATTTAAAATATGGACCAATCGCTTGGTTTTTTTTAAATATCTACTCATCTAGTTTAATCCTGCCTCCTTTTTGCAGAGCTGTACGACTCTTCACAAGCTTAAACTCTAGTGCAGTGGTGCCCAACCCTGTTCCTGGAGATCTACCTTCCTGCATAGTTCAGCTCCAACCCTGATCAAACACACCTAAATCAGTTAATTAGGACCTGAACAGCAGTTGATGATTACAGACAAGTGTGTTTTTGATATGGGTTGCAGGAAGGGTGATCTCCAGGAACAGGGTTGAGCACCCCTGCTCTAGTGAGACCGCAGCTTAAGGGCTGGGTTATTGCATAAAATGATATAGTTTCATTATCATTTGGTATCGATAATTACAGGGTATTTAACTATTTATTTAAGTGTATTAGGATTTTTTTTAAATCATTTAATCACTTTTTTTATTTTCCGTCGTAATGTTGGTAAATTTAAAATGGTTTTAGTAGTAAAAAACAAATGTCATGTTCCTTTGGAAATGACAAACACTCTAAGCTTATTGGCATTGCTTCCAAGGCACACGGTCCGCAGCCACACTATAACACTTCATACTGAACTTTTAAAAAAATAAAAGAATTTGTTATTGGCCATACAGACTTCAAGTCACTTAGGAAAACCATTACATTTGAAGCAAAGTAAATCTGGAATATTTTAAGGTGAAAATAACTCTAAAATCAGTAAGACTATCTGAAACTCCAAATATAGAAACATTATCTGGTGAAGAACGGCTGTGGTTTATCAAATGCAAATAATATTTAACTGAGCCCACTTTAGATTGGATATCATTTTTAAAGAAAACAGGCGTTTAAACGTGCCGATTTTGCAATGGCAGGCAGTTCACGATAAACGCTTAACCCAGGTTATTAACAAATTAAAAGTCCTATTAGCATACTTAGGGTATATGCCAATTTAAAATTGTGTGATCTTTGGCAAGGCCAACAAGAGCGACAGGATGTCCACATTTTCATAGAGGATATTTTATATTTTGTTTGTATTTGTGGTAAGAAGTAATATGAAATGTAAAATACAGTAATTGGACAAGCAAAATTGCACTTTGCGTGTAATACTTTTGCACACAAATGTACCGTATAAATACAAACGTTCATTTATTAAAGTAATAATCAATGGGGTTCGCAAAATAATCTCATATTTGCTTGGAAATGAAGATACTTGGACTAGAAACAAGACAAAAATTCTAAGTAAGAAATGTTTTGGTGCAAAAGTCACAAATGCAGTGATTAAATTCAATCCTGTGGCTCCTGGTCAACTATAAATCAGACTGGACACTGCATGTCTTTGTGATGTGACTATCGCAAGTGCGCACATTGCGATATCAATGCTGAAATGATATATTGTGCAGCTCTAGAGGAAGTGAACACTAAAACAGTCAAAGGTGTAATCTTTTTATTCATGAACAGAATTGAATACAGACTTCTATAACAGAAAGGGATACAGTATTTACAGTAAAGCAACATTAAAAAGGCAACAAGACATCAGTAACGGTTCACTGTGTTATCAAAAAAAACCTCCAACTCCTATTGTACTTCCCCGACTTCTTTCCTACTTACAGTATATAAACGGTGTGTTATTTATCTAGCTACACTTCCAAGATCACTTCTGAGTGACTGATAATAAGAACGGCTCCACTGTTAGTGATCAAACTAAAATGTTGACGTTATTGTCAATACAAGTGTGTCGGTGTGTTTGCCGTATAAAACATGCAGTAGTTCATGATTAGATTCACGTCTGAGATGATTTTGGCATTTCGTTGGCAAGCACAATTTACATTCCAAGAGGAGACGTTCACCGGTGGAAGCTGGCAACACTTCTGCTGGGGATAAAATACTGTTCATGTAATTCTTCTGCTCGTAAATATACATATAACCAAGTGTAATGTAATATAATTAAGCAAAGATGTGTGTAATTTTAAAGAAACTGGGAATTTTGTAAATATTAGTATAATTTCACCACAAAAATTCTCAATGGGGTATATGCCGAGCTAATGTGATTCCCATACTGATAAACTTATGGTGACCTGTTATTCTGAGTTTTTTCCATTTTATACGTTTCCTTTTACAGTATCGATGTTGTAATGTCATTCAAATACAATCCGTTAAACAGACTTTGATTCATTTAGTTGCTCAAGCGTAAAACGAGACAAAGAGCCGTTTACTCGCACACGACAGTCAGAATCGGCAGGCTAGCGCAGAAGCTCCATTGAATATACTGGGGTAAACTGCCCACTTTGCTTTGGCATACAATTTGCCTGAAACGATTAACCCAGGTTACTGGCAAATTAAAAGTCCTATTAGCATGCTTTGGCATATACCCTATTTGGTAAATGTATAATATCACAATTCCAAAAAATCATTGAGGTCTTTAAAAAATGGTCAAACTGGGGGGCAAAAAACATGAGTTTCATCAATATTTCTGTAATTTCACTGAAAAAAAAGTAATGTCGCCAAATTTCATGCATTGCCGCATTAATTTCCACATTTCTATTCTGGGGGAAAAATCTGAATTTTTATTAAATGGTGGCTTTTTCCCATCAAGCAAAACATGCCTAACTGCAATTTTTACCAACTCTAATCACCATTGTTTTATGTAGTTCTATGTAATTCTGCGTAAATTTACTGAATTCTGCAGAAAAAAAAAAAAAACATTGACCAAAAACTTCACCAAATTCACCGTTCAGCAATCGCCCATTTTCATATAAATCAATGAAGTGTGTAATTCTGTGTGGGGAGGGGAAATCTCATCTCACTAAAAATGTTTTGGAGAAAGTAAAGAAATTCTGCAAATCATTCTCATGATAATCACCAAATTTCACAGTTCAGCTATAAATGTTTAGCATTTGACGGTGGCAAAATGTTTTGGTTCAGAATACTGTATATTTTCAAGTTCTCGGTGTCACAAATCCACAAATTCATGGAGTTCTTTAAAAGCAGTGGACTTCACACTTGTAACTTCACACAAAAAATGTAGCAGAACGATCTCCTAATATCGCCAAATTTCATGAAATTCTACAAACAAAAAAAAGAAAGATAAATTTTCTTTTAAATTGTGAATTTTTGCCGCACAGCAAAACATTTTAAACTATGAAAAAAATTTGTGAAAGTTTTAAAGAATTGGGCAACTTTTTTATTTACAGTTTTACACGTCTCGTACCCAATTTTCATAAAAATCAATGGGAGTATACTATTCTGCAAAAATAAATGAATTCTGCAAAACATTTGCTGAATTCAGCTAAAAATTAAATAAAATACTTGCAAATTATTCCCATAAAATCACCAAATTTCATAATTCAACAATCGCCAATTTTCATATAACACCATGGCAACGTGTAATTCTGCAAAACATTCACTGAATTCTGTGAAATTCAATTTCACCAAAACATTTTGGAAACCATGATGGAAAAAGTAAATAAATTCAGCAAACGACATAATTAATTTTTGCCAAAACATTTTGGAAACTGATGAAAAAAAGTAAAGAAGTTATGCAAATTATTCTCATAATATCACAATTTCACAATTCAAATGTAATGAATGACAAAAATATATTTTAGAACTATTATCAAAAAGTAACCCGAACAATGTTCTGGAAACAGTTGTGTAACTGTGGGAAAAAGTAAAGAAATTCTGCAAAATATTTTCATAATAGCACCAAATTTTATAATTCAACAATCATGATTTTTTTGTAACTCCATGGAAATGTGTGTGATTCTGCAAAATATTCGCTGAACTCTGAATTTCGCCAAAATGTAATGGAAACAGTAAAGAAATTATGCAAATGATTCTTATAATATCACCAAATTTCACAATTCAGCAATCGCACATTTTTATATAAACTCCCAACAAAGTGTGTAATTTGGGGAAAACTAATTTCGCAAATAAATAAAAAAAGAGTTTTGCAGACAGTTGTATAACTTTGGAAAACGTAAAGTAATTCCGCAAAACATGCTTACATTCGCTAAATTATGTGAATTTTTTTTTTTTTTTTTTTTGCCAAAACGTTTTGGAAACTGATGGAAAGAAATTTAGCAAATGATTTTTACATCACCAAATTTTACAACTCAGAAATTGCTAATTTTCATATAATTCCACTGAAACTTGTTAGAGAAAATGGAGTTGAATTTGGCGAAAAAAATTCACCAATCAACATTTTGGAAAGTTGTGTAACTGAAAAAAGTAAAATTATTCTGCAAATCATGCTCATAAGATCACCAAATTTTACAATTCAAATTGAATAACTGTTAAACTGACTGTATGTAAAACGTAATTCTGCAAGAATTCTGTCACCAAATTTCACAATTCAGCGGTCATCAATTTTCATATAACTCGTATAACATGGAAACCTGCGTAATTCTGCAAAACATTCGCTGAATTCTGCGATTTAAAAAGTTCGCCGAAACGGTTCTGGAAGAGTAAAGAAATTCTGCAAAACAAAATATCACCAAATTTTGCAATTCAGCAAAAATATCTTTGCAATCGACACTGGCGTAACAATTTACTTCAGAACTCTTCCAATAATTGCAGAGTCGTGTAAAAAAACTCACATAATTAGTTGTATGGGTCTCTCATGACTTAAAAGCTCTTTCGAGTACTGCTGCACAGTGTGTTAAACAGACGTTTAGCAATAAACTGAGTGTGGATGAACGTCCTGCCCTCTCCATGTAGAGTCCGAGTTAGCATTAAGCGTTAGCCTCTGTGTCGTCAGGTCGGCCCTGCTGCAGCTGTACCACCACAGTCTCCACGGTGACCTCTTCCTCGCTGTCGCTGGAGTCGCTACGCTCATCGTAATCGGAGGATTCGGCGTCATGTTGCGATAGTGACGCCGACATGCTGCCGAATGAATGGGCGCTAGTGGATGCCAGAGAGCGCAGTAGCGGAGTGTTTTCCGACACTTCGTTATCCTCGCCGCCGCTGTCCACCGAATCAGAGTCAGACTCGGAGTCGCCGTCAGATGGGACGACCTTCTGCTTGCACACCGGACAGGTCTTCTTGGTTTTGGTCAGCCAGGGGTCCACACACTTACAGTGATAGGCTGAGGAGTAAAACAAAGATCGTTAGCGATCGGCTATTACAATATAAACACCACTTGTTTAAGAGGAAATCGTTTAAAAATGTGTAATTCTAAGTCAAACTAATAAAACTATTTAACATAGTTAACAAATAACAGAATACTTATCACGATACATGTACACAAAATGAACCATACTGATTTTCTTAGCTTATATTGCTAGTTTTGTGGCCAACAATTCATCTGTGCGGTTCGTTAAGAAAAAAAAAAGAACAGTTTGTCCTTGTAATCTATAAATTCATTCATTCATTTTCTTGTCGGCTTAGTCCCTTTATTAATCCGGGGTCGCCACAGCGGAATGAACAGCCAACTAATTCAGCAAATTTTTACGCAGCGGCTGCCCTACCAGCTGCAACCCATCTCTGGGAAACATCCACACACTCATATACTACAGACAATTTAGCCTACCCAATTCACCTGTACCGCATGTCTTTGGACTGTGGGGGAAACCGGAGCACCCGTAGGAAACCAACGAGAACGCAGCGAGAACATGCAAACTCCACAGACACACCAACTGAGCTGAGGTTCGACCCAGCGACCTTCTTGCTGTAAGGCGACAGCACTACCTTTTCTCAAACTAGTGGTACGCGGAGGAATCAAATGTCATATGTTTATGCTACAAATATTTCAAAATTTATCAAAAATGATTTATATATAAATATGACCCTTTAAAAATATTTATTATATGACATACAGCCTATATTTCTGAGGTCCAGGCAACATTTTCAGGTGTTGATGAGTTTGGCTATATGTTGTAATTGTAACTATATGTTATTACTTAACATTTAAGCCCTTTTCTTTTTACTTTTTAAGAACAGTAATCTACCATTTTTTACTTTTAAAAGCACATTTTAATTTAAATGTTGACATTTTTTGTTTGTTTATTTTTACATATTAGCACAGTACAATGTTAACATTCAGACTATTTTTTAATATTTTAAGTGGCTGACAAAAATAAATATTCTTAAAAAGGAATTAATCTGCCATGTTTTTGAACAGTGCAGAGCTGCAGCTGCTTTGCTGGGGTTACTGCGCTACTGTATTTCAATACTGCTCATTATAGTGGTACTTGGAGAGACAATTTTTTTTCTGAGGTGGTACTTGATGAAAAACGTTTGAGAACCACTGACCTCGGTTAACACCATACCTAAGGTGTGTACGATTTTTTTTTTGAGTCACGTTTATTTAATTTTTTTAGGACAACAGTATCTCCAACAAAACAAATATACAAAAATGCCATTTTAAATAGTAAAGTGATCTGTGTTTTTTTTTAAACTAACAAGTCAATAATTCATTTGAATTATTTAGCCTGGCATGTTTACCGCTCCAAAACCTTTTAAATCTTTCAAAAAATAAAATATATTGTGTTCAAAGGAGAAAAAAAGGTTTTGTTTTTTACCCAGACATTAAAGAACAGATTTTGGAGCAGTGATCACAATATCGTGAACGAGGATATTTATTGCAGGCTCATTTATTTTATTTATTTATTTATTATTTATTAGTAATGACTAGGGCCACACCGAGTCTGCCGACATTTTTTTTAAATAACAAACTATGTTAAAAAAATCTGCGAATTCATGCAGTTATTTTGGGAGTATCATAACTAAAAACAAAATATATGAAATAAAAAATAATAGCTTTTTAACTTTTTTTTTGCTATGCAAATCTATCTAGATCCACTTATTTGAAAAACAAAGCAAGTCTCTCATTTATAATATCTCTACTGAAGGACAGTAAATATTACCGTACAAACTGTTTTGTAAAAAAATCATGAACATTTTAATTTTAGTCAATAATATTACTGTAATTAATTTTAAAAAACTGAGTAAATATAAATTTACTCACATTTACACAATAAATAGCTAAAAATCTGCACAGATTTCGTGTGGGCCTAGTAGCTACCAACAAAAATACAAATTTAAATATAATATACACCTCATTAAGGATTTTGTCACTTTCTGTTTGTCCTATTAAGTTTCATTAATTGATTTGTTTGCATTTGTCATCAGGATACCTGATTTTACGGTGTCTTTATTTAATTTTTCCACATTTCGACAACACTTAAAAAGGTTAAAAATAGTTGAACATGTAAAAAACCGTATTGACTGTATTTGAACTGATTATGTTAAAGAGACTGACCGTGTGAGCAGGGCAGCACCCGCAGCCGCTCGCCCTCTTCATACTCGTCCAGACAGATGGCACACACGTCATACGAGTCTCCTGAAAACACAACACATATTTCACATCAGCAGGCCACTCCTGAACTTCCAGATTCAGCCCGTCTGGAGGAAGGAAAACAGCTCAGGAATTCCTCCGCTCGGAGAAAACCCACTGTTTATATAAGCTGTAAACCAGCACACACTCCTGTGGCCGTATATGGACAGACTGAACTCTCTCTCTGTCTGTGTGTGTGTGAGACACTCTGGATGATCAAACATCTGCAAATGCTATGGAGGACGCTTCAAAAACAATCCCTTCAGTGTTAGTATCAGTGTGCTGATTCTGGAACATTTCAACCAGATCTAAAGTCGTTAAATTAACGTTTTTTTTATGTTGGTATCGTTATGTTAGTCTCAAGGATAGCTATAAGCTAATGTGCTTCAAAATGGGCCAATAAAATGCTTGTGTCTTACATGCCCCGCCCCCTTCTCGTTTGCTTTTCATTTGATGTGCTTGAGCTAAAATACTCTAAGGAAAACAAAACGCTATTGGATATTTTTGAAAAAGGGGAGGAGCTCATGTATGTCCCGACATGGATCCAAGGTATTTTTGACGTCACCTCATATTAGTTCCTCATCAAATCATCTGACCAATCAAATGCTCTCTAGTGGTTTACTTGCCCCGCCCCCTTCTCATTTGATGCGCTTGATCTAAAATACTCTCATTGAGGGAAAAGAAACAGCTATTGGCTATTTTTGAAAAAGGGGAGGAGCTACTGTATGTCCCGCCATGGATCAACGATATTCTTGACGTCACCTCATATTTTAGTTCCTCATTAAATCTTCTGGCCAATCAAATATTCTTAAGTATCTGACATGCCCCTCCCCATTCTCATTTGCTTTTCATTTGAAGCTGTTAAGCTAAAATACTCATTTAAAAAAAAATGAAACACTATTGGCTATTTTTTAAAAGGGGAGGAGCTACTGTATGTCCCGCCATGGATCAACAATATTTTTGACGCCACCTCATATTTTAGATTCTCATCAATTCTTCTGGCCAATCAAATGCTCTCTAGTGTTTGACATGCCCCGCTTCCTTCTCATTTGCTTTTCATTTGATGCGCTTGAGCTAAAATACTCTTATTGTAGAAAAACGAAATGCAAAAATAAATTATTAATTTAATTAATTAATGCAAAAAAAAAGTGGGGTGAGTAAAATAAACTTTTTTTTTCCCCGAAAAAGCATTAATGTGAACTTTTCTAGAAAATACTCCTTGATTTACGAGGTTTTTGATATTTGAACTAAACAAGACAACATTTATATGTATTAATATAATCTCTCCACACTGTACATTAGAGAGGGCTTCAATTGAGTGAGTAAATCTGAAGGTTTATCACAGCGCGTGTTTCCGGTGCGGGACAGCAGCTGTGTCTGCGGTCAAACAGCAGGAAAACAGCAGCTGAGTGATGAATCAGCAGAGCCGGCGGATGAACAAATCCATGAGTCAGCGGAGAAACGGCAAGGTGAACACCAGGATATAAACCCTTTATCTGAGCGAGAGCGGAAACAACCTAGATACTCCCTTCAAGGAGACGGTTCACCCACAAATCAACATCTGCTGTTCATTTACTCTCATTAAGATCTTCGGATTAACTACTTTTCATTCAGAAGGACATCAGAGAAGATATTTAGCTGAAAGCGATTCATAAAATGCACGTCAATGGCAAAAGTCAAAAAAACGTGGCACCTGATAATACACTCAGGCTTAATGAATCAAAACTATCACTCTGTTCAAGGAACTTTGCATTATTTTCAACATTTTTGCATTTAAATTCATGGCCTGAGCAAACAGTCCTGACAAGAGTTCATGACACTGTAAAGCTGAGATCACGCTGCACTTTTCAGCCCCATGACTTACATTAAAATGCACGAAAATGCTGCAGACCAAAAATGCAATCTCGTAAAAAAAATGCAGCAAAAGTTTCGCATTTTGCTGCATTCCAAAGTAAAAGTTTGAGGAACTCTGACCTACAAAAATCGCATTACGTTAAAACGTGACCAATAGAAGATCAAAAAGTGACCTCTCTGTACAGAAATTTAAGCAATTATTTGTTTTATAGACAGAATTTCAAAGGCTCAACGCAGTTTAAGGCTCACATTGCACCAAAGCATCTTTTGCTGTGAGGTGGCGTTTAAAAAAGATTTGACGGAGCATTCTGTGCCCCTGCAGTTGGAAAAAAGTCAAATGTGGGGGGAAAATGCCTGATGTCATGCGCTCCAGCATGAAGACTGCTGATACAGTGAGTGCCTAACAACATAAAAAGCACAGTTTACTGCTCCTTTCTGCAAAAGTCAAGTAAAAAAAGCAGTGTGGTAAGCTGGGAGTTGACTAAACTGAAAAAAGTATATGTTGATTTATTTTGTTTGATGTGGCTCACTTTCACACTGCCCTTTTAGAACCAGACAATTTCACTTTTTACAGCACGTCCAAGATAATTTCGCATACCTATACACTAGTTTAACAACAGCTTAAGGCTCTGATAACACCGAAGCATCTTTTGCTGTGAGTCGCTTTTTTAAATATTGTTTGACGGAGCATTTTGTGCGCCTGCAGTTGGAAAAAAAGGTAAATGTGGGGGAAAACGCCTGATGTCATGCACTCCAGCATGAAGACTGCTGATACAGTGAGTGCCTAACAACATAAAAAGCACAGTTTACCGCTCCTTTCTGCAAAAGTCAACAAAAAAAGCAGTGCGGTAAGCTGGGGGTTGAAAAACTGAAAAAAAGTAGAAGAGTGTGGCTTTCACACTGCCCTTTTTGAACCTGACACTGATAAAATAGCTTCTATTAAAGTTGGTAATACTGTAACTAAAATTATTATCACAACACTCAACAGCAATATTGATTATTTTCCCAGTATTGTGCATTAAAAATCTTAGGCTATGGACAATGTGAAACATGTATTGTTCTCTGATGAGTTCACCTTCAACGTCTTTCCTACATCCTGGAGAGTTACGGCGTGGAGAAGCCCCAAAGAAGCGAATCACCCATTATTAGATTATTTAACCTTATAGCATTTCATGTAAGGTTGTTTTGTCCTACAAAGAGACAACCATTTTAACCATTACCTGTCAGATTTAGATTACAGTCACATGCAGATATACCAATATACATTTAAAATGAGCGCATGGTAGTGGTGTGCAGCTGGGCCAAAAAATATAAACCTGTAAAAATCCTAATATATTTAAAGGGATAGTTCACCTAAAAACGGTTCATTCCGCTTCGGCGACCCAGGATTATTAAAGGGACTAAGCCGACAAGAAAATGAATGAATGAATGAGTTATTATTCATCCTTCATGTGTTCAAAACAAGGATGCAAACAGACACCAGCCATTTTAAAAACAATGGCACCAATTGACGTCCATAGTATTTTTTCCCTACTATGGAAGTCAAAGAGCAACCAGCATTCTTCAAAATATCTTCCTCTGTGTTCAACAGAAGATACAAACTCAACCAAGTTTAAACCACACATGAAGAGAACATTATGAGGTATTTTTCGTTTTTGGGTGTACTAACCCTTTAAGCGAAGACTGAGTTGTGTACTATAGCAAACACTGAATGTTCTTTGTAACACATAAGAACTGTTGCTCATTTCCATGTATTTTGCATAAGGAAAGCGAAGCCTATTTTTGTAGCATCCTGGTGGCGGTCACTCTCACCGCTGCCGATCAATTATCCACAGGACACCCAGCAAAAACCACTGGATGGAAACAATCACACATGACCTTCACCGTTACGACTCTCATTTGCTCTGAACATGCGAAGCGTGAAAGACGAAGGTACACTTTCTGCCTCTACGAAACCTTTGATCGCTCTGAATGTTTGAAAGAGGACACTTGATCACAGGTGTCTGAAACCTGATTCCTGACCCAAGGGTTTCTTCATACTCGACAGCGAACAGTGAAAGTGACGTCTGACAGTCTGCGCCTGCACAATACTGAGAAAAAAAAACGACAATTTGTTTATCTGAGATATAGATAAAGTGCTGCTTGAACATTTGTGTACACAGTGTTGTCAGAATTACCAGTTTCAGGGTAAACCATGGTCATGTTTGGTTAAATGGTTAAAATTATATTAAATTTTTTATAGTTCTGCTCAGTTGATATCAGATCTAATACACTGTAAATAATTGGAAAGAGGAAATATTGACTCCTTAATATGAATTTTTCTTTTTTTTATTATCTATTTATTTATTTATTGCTCTTATTGTAAAGTTGCTCATTTATTATCATTATTATTATCTTTTTTTAAAGAATTTCTTTAAATTTTTAATTACATTTTTAATTTATTACTATTCATGACGTACTATGACGTCAAACGAACCAAAAGTGCTATTGTGAAAGCACCCTTAGTCTTTGTTTACCAAATTGTTTGACATAATCTTTATTTATTATCGTGTGTATACTTGTATAATTACCATCGTAGTTTATTAAATCTTAATTTATTAAAATTTAATCATAGACCCGTGTCTGTATAATAACTCATTTTACTTCACATTTATATGAATAGATGTGTAGATTTTCTTAAATCAAAAATGTAGATTTATAATATTAATATAATATTAATTACAGGGTTTATTTAATTTAATCATTTTATCGTTAATGTAGAGTGAAACTGATGAATCCATAGTGAGGTAAGTGACGTTATAAAGTACACTGCCGTTCCATTTGAAGAACTACCCGACTTGTGTCCTTGCATCCTCGCAAGTTCGTTCTTCCTCGCAAGTCTGAACTTGCCAAGTCCGAACTTTGTGTACATGATATTGAGAAACAGCCTTCAGACACTTCTATACAGCTTAAAGTGACATTTAAAGGCTGTATAATGATGGTCTGTTCTGTAGACTATCGAGAAAAGGGGCTAATAATTTTGTACCTAAAATGGTGTTTAAAAAATTTAAAACGGCTTTTATTTTAGCCGAAATAAAACAAATAAGACTTTCTCCAGAAGATAAAATATTATCAGACATACTGTCAAAATTTCCTTGCTCTGTTAAACATCATTTGAGAAATATTTTAAAAATTAAAAAAATTCAAAGGGGGCTAATAATTCTGACTTCAACTGTACATGTAAACTGTAACTATATATCTATTTATGACTAAATAATATTGCGCAACACTTTCAGGAGGAGTCTGCCAACGTTTACAGCTCTCGAACTGTGACCGAGTTGAACAGGAAGCTCATTCATGTGCACACACACACACATACAGAGTGAATGGTCAATGGTCGCGGTGCTGATTTGGTTGTAAAATGTCTTGATGATTCACTGTGAGGAGGTGGAAACGCTGAAGGCTCCAGCGCAGGAGGGGAATTCCACATTTCACCCACATTCGTCACGTGTCCGCAATGCCAAGGCTGACGTTCAGCACAAATAACTGATGTTACAGCAACAACACGAGCAAAAAAAAGAGCCTGAGTGTATGTTTTTTCTAAGAGGGGGGATGTGTAGTGTCTACGTCCCTAATCCAACACAATACATCAATCCAACTACTGCCTTACTATTAATAAGCAGCAAATTATGAGTTTATTGAGGAAAAAGTCATATTTGATAAGTCATAATGGTTTATAAACAGCGAGACATTTTCCTTAAATAAATTGTGAGCAAAAACCAAAAGTGTTTGTCGGGAGTTGTTATGAAGAATAAACCTGTAGTTCTAGTTATGAAAGCAATAAAGATCTCCATTTGCATGTTTGTGCTTCATAAGAGTTTGTTTTTCCCGAATGTAGCAAACATGTTGATATATAAGCTAATATTGAGTGAGTTATACTGTATGCATAGTCCTTTGCTTGGTTTCTGAATGATTCAGCTGTTTTGAATGAATCGTTTGCATAGATGATTCAGTGAATCGCTCATTAAAGGGGCAGTTCACTCAAAAACGAAAGATCTGTCATCATTTACTGTCTTAAATCTGTTAGCATTGGCTTTCATAGTAGCAATTGATGTAAATGGGTAACAGTTTTCTTCAAAATATCATCTTTTGTGTTCAACAGTATAAAGAAACTTACAAAACAGTTTTTGAACAAGTCAATAGTGAGTACATTTTCGAGTGAACTTTCCCTTTAAGTCTTTGAGGCCACTACTGGTGGTTTGAATGTCATATTTGTGTGTTCATGACAGGCTTAATCCAGGCAAAACCAGCACAAATACACTGAAAATGTTGATTATTATCATTATTGAAAGAAAAAAAAATCCAAAAACACCATATTTACCATCAAGAAACCAAACATCCAGCCATTTTAAGGTAAAATGTTTCAGGGAATGTCTTTGAAGATAAAAAAGTTGACTTTTTATGAACTGTATTATTTATATACAGTGTTTATGCAGTTCAAGGGCGGCGCAATCGCCTAACAGCAAGAAGGTCGCTAGTTTAATCCCCGGCTGGGTCAGTTGGCGTTTCTGTGTGGAGTTTGCATGTTCTCCCTGTGTTGGTGTGGGTTTCCTGTGGGTGCTCCCCCACAGTCCAGACTCATGCGCTTTAGGGGAATTGATGAACTAAATTGGCAGCAGTATATGAGTGTGAATGTGAGAGTGTATAGGTGCTTATTTGGCTGGAGAGTCATTCGTTGTGTAACACATATGCTAGATAAGTTGGCGGTTCATTCCACTGTGGCAACCCCTGAATAATAAAGGGAGTAAGCCGAAAAAGAAAATGAAGCTAATGCATTTAAAAAGTGTCCCACCTTTCTTGAATTTGTGGATCGGGAGTTTCTTCAGCTGGTCCTTGCGCAAGCGGCTTCTCCGGGCTCTGTGTCGATCCTGAACGAACTTTGTGATCTGTGACGTAAACATTTCAGTCAACAAAACATATTCATATTCATATTCAGTGCTGTGCTCACGTTTAGTTCGGGACAATTTTTTTTTACTTTTTATTTAAGATATTTCAATATATTTTTTACAGAACAACCCCTTTCCCAACTTTTTAACCCCTTACAAATAAGAGTATATGGATGAATTCAGAATTATTAGCCCCCCTTTTTATTTTTCTTCCAATTTCTGTTTAACGGAGAGCTGATTTATTCAACACATTTCTAATCATAATAGTTTTAATAACTCATTTCTAATCACTGATTTATTTTAACTTTTGTCATGATGACAATAAACAATATTTGACTAGATATTATTCAAGATGCGTCTGTACAGCTTAAAATGACATTTAAAAGCTTAACCAGGTTAATTAGGTTAACTAGGCAGGTTAGGGTAATTAGGCAAGTTATTGTATAAAAGTGGTTTGTTCTGTAGACAGTCGGGGAAAAAAATTAGCTTAAAGGGGCTAATAATTTTGTCCTTAAAATGGTGTTTAAAAAATTAATAACTGCTTTTATTCTAGCCAAGATAAAACAAATAAGACTTTCTCCTGACGAAAAAATATGATCAGACATACTGTGAAAATGTCCTTGCTCTGTTGAACATCATTTGGAAAAACATAAAAAAAATAAAATAAAAAAATAAAAGGGGGCTAATGATTCTGACTTCAACTGCACATAAAAAATAATAATAAAATTATTTAAAATATCAACTAAAATAAACTAATAAAAATAAATAAATAAATAAATAAAAGGTACAGTGTAACCAACTTGGCAATTTTGTTGCTAGATTTAGAAACGTTTCATACTCAATCATTCATTTTCTTTTCGGCTTAGTCCCTTTATTAATCCGGGTTCGCCACAGCGGAATGAACCGCCAACTTATCCAGCAAGTTTTTACACAGCGGATGCCATTCCAGTCGCAACCCATGTCTGGGAAAACGTTTCATACTACCGGAGTAATTTTTTTTTTCAAAAAGCATCTAGCAACATATTTAGCAATTTTTAACATTCATTTGCCTACTTTGAAGTGACTCAAAAGAGCAGCGGCAGCAGGCTTCACTCAGTAGAGTAAATTGCTAGCTCAGATTGTTTTTCATAACCGTTCATTTACTGATATTCGAGCATGTCTGGGGTAAGATGGAGGAGGAGGTGTTGAAGATGAACACAAAGAATCTTGAACTCTGGTAGTCCTGCAGGAACACTTTCTCTGCCATTCCAGATGACTTTATTAATCAGTGATTTGAGTCATTATTTGAGTCAATATTCAGTCTGTTTCCACTGCAGCATGACTTTATATTCTATACTGGACATTATTTCTGTTTCTTTAAGCAAAGTGAGACCTCACTGTCCTAATGAAATCATTCAAAATCAAGAGACATGATCATATTTTGTTGTGCTCAAATAAGTGTAATCTAGAGGCCTTTCATATAAACCACTTCTGATACCAAATGTTCAACTAGAAGTCATTACTTGCTGATCCTAAAACTTAAAAAGGTGGCAACAATTTTGTCAGGTAGTATATATATTTATATATATATATATATATATATATATATATATATATATATATATATATTTTTTTTTTTTTTTTTTCTCCCCTTCATCTATAAAGGGTTAATGGGTTGTTTTGTAAAAAAAAAAAAAAAAAAAAAGGGAAGGAAAAAAAAAGTGACAATCTATGTAGTTTGCTTATTTTCATGTCTGTAAAACAGTGTTTAGAACAGGGGTCACCAACCCTGTTCCTGGAGAGCCACCTTTCTGCAGATTTTAGTTGCAACCCTGACCAAACACACCTGTTTGTAATTATCAAGTGCTGCTTTAGGTACTATTAATTGGTTCAGGTGTGTTTGATCAGGGTTGGGACTGAATTCTGCAGGAAGGTAGCTCTCCAGGAACAGGGTTGGTGACCCCTGGTTTAGAAAATATCCTGCTGTCTGTATGAAAATATTTCAAATATGTAGGCTTGTGTTTTTATAAGACTTTAACTTTCAGGATATTTTTGGGTTTATCTGTATTTCCAGCACTTCTGTAGGCCTGGAAAATGACTAAAACTCCATGCCTCTGTATGAACCCTGCTTAATTTCAATCAAACCCATATCTAAATATCATGAGATGCATGCGTCCATAACTATATTCTTCAGGTATCGTTTTCTGCATAATTGCACACGACTCACCATGAAAACTACGATGAGGATGAGGCAGATTCCCACAATGATGAGGAATGGGATCAGATAATATTCCAGAGGCAGACTGAAGTCCGGCATGAGGATCACGTGACCCCTGGAAACACGCACACGTTACATTTCTTCACAGAGAACGTTGTGGTTTTTTGATATCTGGTGAGGCGCAGTCATATGACGAGCAGAGCAGCAGAACTGATCAGCTGTTTGTGTTAAGTAAGCGTCTGAACAGTGAAGTATTCAGGAGCCTCACCCTTTCTCATAGATGTAGTCCTCTTTCAGAGAGTTGGCCGCTTCTTCACCGATAAACACAGAAGGGATGTCTATCTGCTTCAGGATATCCACTGCAAAGAAATCAATAACATTAATAACATCAATAAGATTTCAACAATACACATATAGCTATGAGATTCTGATTCAGCTTGATTCCTTAAGTAAACAATTGTTATGAGTGTAGATTTTGTCATTCCTCCATCCCCAGCATCACCTGCCTAATTCTGCTCGAAATCAATTTGGCACTTCAGTGTTATTATTTAAAGCTGATAAATTTATTTAAAGTATGTTAGGACTAGAGCTTTTTTTTGTCTCTTGAATCGATTTTGAGCTTAGATTTTAAACAGCAGACGGCGTTCTAGGCTAGTTTTAAACAGCAGACGATGCTCTAGGCTGCAGACGGCGCTCTAGGCTAGTTTTCAACAGCAGACGGCGCTCTAGGCTAGTTTTCAACAGCAGACGGCGCTCTAGGCTAGTTTTAAACAGCAGACGGCGCTCTAGGCTAGTTTTAGATAGCAGACGGCGCTCTAGGCTAGTTTTAAACAGCAGACGGCGCTCTAGGCTAGTTTTAAACAGCAGATGGCGCTCTAGGCTAGTTTTAAACAGCAGACGGTGCTCTAGGCTAATTTTAAACAACAGAGGCGCTCTAGGCTAGTTTTAAACAGCAGACGGCGCTCTAGGCTAGTTTTAAACAGCAGACGGTGCTCTAGGCTAATTTTAAACAACAGAGGCGCTCTAGGCTAGTTTTAAACAGCAGACGGCGCTCTAGGCTAGTTTTAAACAGCAGACGGTGCTCTAGGCTAGTTTTAAACAACAGATGACGCTCTAGGCTAGTTTTTTTAAGTAAACAGCACTCTAGGAAGGTTTTAATAAAAGATGGAGCTCTAGGCTATTTTTTAACAGCAGACGGCGCTCTAGGCTAGTTTTTAACAGCAGACAGTGCTCTAGGCTAGCTTTTATCAGCAGATAGCGCTGTAGGCTCGTTTTTCATAGTGGGTGATGTTCTAGGCTAGTAATTAACAGCAAACAGCATGCTAGGCTAGTTTTTAACAGCGGACAGCGATCTAGGCTATTTTTTGACAGCAGATGTCGCTCTAGGCTAGTGTTTAACAGTAGATAGCGCTCTAGGCTAATTTAAACAGCAGATAGCGCTCTAGGCTAGTTTTTAACAGCAGGTGGTGCTCTAGGCTAGACTTAACAGGAGATGGCGCTCTAGGCTAGTTTTGAACAGCAGATTGCACTCTAGGCTAGTTTGTTAAGCGGACAGCATGCAAGGCTCGTTTTTAACAGCGCTCTAGGCTGCTGTTTAACAGCAGATGTCGCTCTAGGCTAGTGTTTAACAGTAGATAGTGCTCTAGGCTAGTTTTTAATAGCAGACAGCGATCTAGGTTAGTTTTTTGACAGCAGATGATATGCTAGGCTAGTTTTTAACAACAGACAGCACTCTCGACTAGTTTTTTTTCACAGCAGACAGCGTTCTAGGCTAATTTTTAACAGCAGCTAGAGCTAGCTTTTTAACAGTAGACTCACTCTAGGCTAGTTTTTTAAAGCAGATAGCACTGTAGGCTAGTTTTTAATAGTAGATGATGTTTTAGGCTAGTTTTGAACAGCACATGGCGCTCTAGGCTAGTCTTAACAGCAGATGACATGCTAGGCTAGTTTTAATAGTCGAAAGCACTAAAGTCTATTTTTAACAGTAGACACACTCTAGGCTAATTTTTACTAGCAGACGTTGCTCTAGGCAAACTTTTTTACAGCATATAGGGTTCTAGGACAGTCTACCGGAAGACGATGCTCTAGGCTAGTGTTTAACAGCAGATGGTGCTCTAGGATAGTTTTTAAAAGCAGATTGCACTCTAGGCTAGATTTACACAGCTCAAAATCAATGCAGCTCTCCATTTTTAATCAAATTAGGCTACTAAATCGTCCAGATAACATTGAACACATACAATAAAAGTCCTGCAGAATATTTCAGACCACACAAGTAGAGTAAACAGGCTTAAAACAGTTATTCTGCACCGACAAGAGGCTTAATAAATGACATCAGATCTAATTGTGGCATAATCTGCTCCTCCAGGAACGCTGAGGTCTGGTTTCTCCCAGTCAGTTTCCCCTCACGGCCACATCTCGACTGATAAAAACAGCGGCGGTTATGAGCAGCACAGGGCCGGAGGAGGTTTGTGAATCGCAGCATTGTCCCTTGTGTCTCGGCTGCATGTTTTATGCATTGCTGTGCAGGAACTTACGGTCTTCGGATCCCATGCTGATTAAGTCATCAGAGTCCACATTGTGGACAATCGCCGCCTTGTAGCCGGCCTTCTGCGCATGGAGGACCTGAAGAAGAAGAAGAAGAAGAAGAAGACTCCAGCATTGTGTTGAGAATAACACACAGGCGTCATGCATGAGCTCTACAAAACACATATTCAACACAGCTCTTGCATGACACACACGGGGGTTTCATGGGCTAGTCAGAATGGCTGTTTGCTAATTAACATGTGGAAAGAACTATTTGTGTCAATACATCACAATGCGTCCCATTTAAAGGGTTAGCTCACCCAAAAATGAAAACTCTGTCATTCTGTTCAAACCTATTGAGGTTTTTCTTCCGTTAAACACAAAAGAAGATATTTCGAAGAATGTTGGAAACCACTGATTTCTACAGTATAAAAAAAAGATAGTATGGAAGTTAATGGTTACCAGTTTACAACATTCTTCAAAATATCTTCCTTTGTGTTCATCAGAAGAAGAAAAAAACAAAGGCTTTAAACCACCCTGGAGGGGGGGGGGTGCATTACATTATAGCCCCTTTCACACAGTGATACAGGTAAATATCTGGAAAATTTCCGGAACGACTTTACCGGTAAATTCAAAAAAGCGCTGTTCACGCAGGCGAGGACGATATGGAATTTTTCCGGAAAAGAGCGTTCACACATCCATTCCAAAATACCGGTAAATTCTGACATCATCAACCAGAAATGAGCTCTAAACGCCTGCGCTTGTGTTTGTAAACATTTGACTACATCACAAACTCTGTGGATGATCAGTATTGTGAACAACTTCGATGAAATATAGAGAAACACTTTCGCATGTCGAGATGTACATGATGTGTGTGTGCTGGCGCTTACGGGCTGTTTCACGGGCACACACAAAGCTTGAAGGTAAACAAACAACGGCTAATCATAAGCACCTTATCGATATTTATTTACAAGGTTGGCATTAAGTTGAACATATAAACGTTATCTGACTAACGCCCCATTCACACGGGGCGTCAGCGTCAACGCTTCCCATTCACTTTGAATGGGTGACGTCACACGTTGACGAACTGCATTGTGGATCCGTCAGCGCCGCTTTAGAGGCATTGCTCGCTGCAGAAGTTGGGACTAGCTCAACTTTTCAAGCGCCAACGGAAGAGTCAGCCAATCAGATGGCTGTATGCAAATACACCAGCTAGACAGTGGCCTATTGCTGACGCAATTTCATTGGCTGACGCTTCTATGACGATCGTTTCAGCCCCAACTTCAGACATGCCTTCAGTCAAGCGTTGTCGCTGAAGCCCCGTGTGGATGGGGCGTAACTTCTAGCAGCTAAATGTGTCTGGGAAAATATCCAAAGGCTTTTATTAACATAAACCGCGCGGACGTGAATGCGTCTGACTGTTCTGATTGGCTAAAGTAGACGTCTCATGTCAGCATGTTCTAGACGTGCACGCGCTCTTTCCGGCAATCTTCCCTCTGGGTTAACACAGTGCTGCATTCCGGCAAATTACCGGTAACGTTACAACTTCTCTTGAATTTACCGAATTTACCGGTACTTTCAAAAAGGGCCTGTTCACACATACACACCTTTCCGGAAAATTGCCGGTAAAGGTCTGTATGTGTGAAAGGGGTTATCAGTACATTATTAACTTTGACTTAAACTTTCGGGCTTCATCGAACATGGACCTTCAGCAGTGGCTGGGTGTGAGTGTGACGCGGCTGGGATGAGAATCAGCAAGCCATGGTGCTCCATGGGAAAAGGGTGGTTTGCCATCTCCAGGTTGGAGGAAAGTCTTTACCCTAGGTGGAGGAGTTCAAGTATCTCTCGGTTTTGTTCATGAGTGAGAGAAAGATGGAGTGTGAGACTGACAGGCAGATCAGTGCAGCGGCAGCAGTAATGTGGTCAATGTATCGGTCTCCTGTGTTAAAAAAGGAGCTGAGCCGAAAGGTAAAGCTTTCGATTTACCGGTCAGTCTACGTTCCTACTCACACCTAGCTTTGGGTCATGACTGAAAGGAAAAGATTGCGGATATCAGCGGCTGAATTGAGTTTCCTTTGCAGGGTGGCAGGGCACTCTCATAGATAGAGTGAGGAGCTCTGTCACCCGGGAGGAGCTCGGAGTAGAGCCGCTGCTCCTCCACATCGATAGAAGTCAGCTGAGGTGGCTCAGGCATCTGTTTCGGATGCCTCCTGGACGCCTACCTAAGAGCTCATATGTCACAATACAGAATTTATACAGTTTAACAGTTTTGTTGATTGACTATATGCTTTTACATACAGGCATATATTGTTGTCATCAATTAATTTTAAAAGAATCAAATTAAAATATGTTTTCAATATATTCAATAAAACATATATAAATTAAATTATAAATACTTTGGACAGAATTCAGTGTGAATATAAGACATTATTTATAAAAATAGACCTACAGAAATATTTTTAGTGTATGAACATGAATAGAGCTGTCGTTTTTGGTTTAACAGCCGCAAAACTACATGATGAATGCTGCGAGTTTGCGTCAGGATGATGATACATGGGCCGACTTTTTGAGCAATGTTGCTGCCATATTGCAGGGTGTGATGCTGCTTGGCTACTTTCATGAAATAGGATGTGAGGTCTAGTTATCTACCTGTCCTCACTCACTATGCTTCAGTTTAGTCCCTGATTTATCAGGGGATGCCACAGCCTAATGAACCACCAATTATTCCAGCTTGTGTTTTATGCAGTTGATTCCCTTCCAGCCACAAACCAGTACTGGGAAACACCTATACACTTTCGCATTCACACATGCCCTTATACACTAGGGACAATTTAGTTTATCTATTCACCCATACTGCGTGTTTTTGGACTGTGGGGGAAACCCGTTATTTACCTGCCAAGTGAAACTAAAACATGTAGTAGTACTTTGTACTTAAGTACTTATTTTGAGGTCGTACTTTGTTTCTTTTACTTGAGTATAAAAGTGTAGTCAGTACTTTAACTTTTACCAGAGTTGTTTTAAACATGAGTAGCTGTACTTCTACTTAAGTAAAGGATGTGTGTACTTTTGCCATCTCTTCAAGTTAATAAAAACAAGGGTCCTGTTTTTGTCAATAATTTGTATCAAAAGCCTGTGTTTTCATGCGCAACAGCGGCCACTAAAGGCAGAATGGAGAATTACAGCAGCCAAACTGTCAGCGTTCATAGGTAAACATCTAACATTATGATCAAAACGGTCTCCAAACGCATATTCTAGTGCAGAAGTATTGAATCTAGAAGTGCGGAGAGTGAGGGTGAGCTGTAAATAATCTGCTGTGGAGCCGCATTCCTGCAGCGCTGCTTTAGTGATTAGTGAATGTTTGCGCAGACGAGAGATAAAAACATTCAAGACATTCCACAGAAACGCAATCTCTCGTCTCGGGTCACGTGAAGCTGCTCGCCGGTGTAAAACTCTGAACACACCGCAGTTAAAACTGCTGCTGAGACTCGTGTCTGCCAGTTTTAGAGATTTTGCACACCGAATGACAATTAGGTTTACTGTACAGCGGGGAAAATAAGTATTGAACATGTCATGCTTTTTCCTGGGAATAATATTTGTAAATGAGCTGTTGACATGGAACTGAAGCAGATTTTGGTAAAACCCAAACAGCGCGAACAAAAAATAAAACAAGTTATGTGTAATAATACTTTATATACAAGGCTTTTACAAGGCGATGGCAGCTTAAAGACACCTCTCATATGGAGAATGAAGTCACTTGCATTGCTCAGATGTGAGTTTTGTCTCGTCTATCAAATCTGAGCTCTAAATTGAGCTCAGGTACATTCTGTTTCCACTGATCGTTCTTGAGATGTTTCAGCAGCTTCACCTGTGGTCAATTCAGTTGATTGGACATGATTTGAAAAGGCATACACCTGTCTATAAATGGGCCCACGGTTGACAGTCAAAGCACAAACCAAGCATGAAGACAAAGGAATTGTCTGTAGAGTTCAGAGACAGGATTGTCTTGAGGCACAAGGCTGGGGAAGGTTACAGAAACATTTCTTCTGCTCTAAAAGTTCCACTAAGCACAGCGGCCTCCATTATCTGTAAGTGGAAGATGTTTGAACCACCAGGACTCCTCCTAGAGCTGGCCGGCCATCTAAGCTGAGTGATCGGGGGAGAAGGGCTTTAGTCAGGAAGGTGATCAATAACCCGATGGTCACTGTGTCTAAGCTCCAGCGTTCTTCTGTGCAGAGAGGAGAACCTTACAGAAGGACAACCATCTGTGCAGCAATCCACCAAACAGGCCTGTATGGTAGAAAAGCCTGGAATTTGCCAAAAGGCATCTGAAGGACTCTCAGACCATAAGAAACAAAATTCTCTGGACTAAAATTGAACTCTTTGGAGTGAATGCTAGGCGTTACGTTTGGAGAAAAGCAGACACCGCTTATCACCAGGCTAATACCATCCCTACAGAGAAGCATGGTGGTGGCAGCATCATGCAGTGGGGATGTTTTTCAGCAGCAGGAAATGGAAGACTAGTCAGGATAGAGGGAAAGATGAATGCAGCAATGCACCGAAATATCCTGAATGAAAACCTGCTTCAGAGTGCTCTTGACCTCAGATTGCGGCGACGGTTCATCTTCCAGCAGGACAATGACCCAAAGCACACCGCCAAAATATTAAGAGTTGCTTCACAACAACTCGGTGAATGTCCTTGAGTGGCACAGCCAGATCCCAGACCTAAATCCTATTGAACATCTTTGGAGAGATCTGAAAATGGCTGTACACCGTCGCTTTCCATCCAACCTGATAGAGCTTGAGCGGTTCTGCAAAGAGGAATGGGCACAAATTCCCAAAGACAAGTGTGCCGAGCTCGTGGCATTATATTCAGAAAGACTTGAGGCTGTAATCGCTGCCAAAGGTGCATCAACAAAGTATTGACCAAAGGCTGTGAATACTTTTTTTATTTTTAATAAATTTGCAACAATTTTAAAAACTCTTTTTTTCACATTGTCATTATGGGGTATTGTGTGTGGAATGTTCAGGAAATCAATGAATTTAATCCATTTTTGAATAAGGCTGTAACATAAACAAATGTAGGAAAAAAGTGAAGCGCTGTCAATACTTTCCGGATGCACTGTAACTAGGTTAATAGGCGTGTCACGATTTCGGTTTTTAATCGAAATCGATCGAAATTTATGCTCAATTTCGATTATCGAATCAAAAAATAGAATCGTCGATGCTGCCACGCCCCCATGTCACGTCAGCCGGAAAAAAGCAGGCTTGTTGAAGTGCTTGTTAAACTGCAGACGCAGGAGACCCGTCGACAGAACTTAAACCGAAGTCGCCGGTGTGTAAGCATTTTGGATTTCCAGTGAGTTATGTTGACAACGTTCATGTTGTCGACAAAAAAACACAGTTTTGCAAGCTCTGCTATGTAAGTATTACGTACGGTTTGTCCGATAGACAACACCGGCATCGCGATCCTCCGCCCGCCCCTGTTGCATATCCGCTCGTGAAAAGTACACACTCAGGCTCTGTTTACTCTGTCTTTGTTTTTAAATGCCATTTTAGAACGACAACGATTTGACATCCATAGTGGCGTGTAGCATTTCTGAGCAGCCCTCCTTCCTCTCTACCTCTGAAACATCACGTGACCACACAGACACAGACGCACACAGCCATGCGCTCGAGACAGCAGGTCCAGGCAGTCAGAGGACTGCTTCAATCTTTCACTCACTTGTACTTTGTAATTTTAGTGAACACCTCAGATACTGTTGGCTGGTTCCTGTTGGTTGTGCGTCTTTTTTACCGACGCCATTATAACGACACAGATCACTGCCTATTCACGAGTCCTGCAGAAAAAGTGATTGACAGGTGGTATTTATGTGTGTATCTTGCCTTTATTCATTTACTGTATGATTTGTTTATGGATAAAAAAAAGACCATGCAGGTCAGGTAGTTTAAACGGTAGGCTAAAAATAATTAATTGGTCATTAATTAATTAATTATTCATAATCGAAAATCGAATCGAATCATGCCTTTAGAATCGAAAATGTAATCGAATCAAGAATTTGGAGGATCGTAACACCCTTATAGGTTAATTAGGGTAATTAGGCAAGTCATTGTATAACAGTGGTTTGTTCTGTAGACAAAAACAAATATTGCTTAAGGGGGCTAATAATATTGACCACAAAATGATTTTTAACATTTAAAAACTGCTTTTATTCTAGCCGAAATTAAACAAATAAAAATATTATAGAAAATAATGTGGAAAAAACTCCTTGCTCCATTAAATATAACTTTGGGAAATATTTGAAAAGGAAAAACTAAATGTAATAATTAGTATGTCTACATAAAGCCTAAAATCTCTACATTTAAACCAACCAAATGAACTCGGACATAAATGTTCTCTGGTTTTGTCATCCATAAGAAACGAATGCGAGGTAATCTCTGTCCCGTCTGATTCAAGAATTCCCGCCTCCGGCATTCAACCCCAAATCACATGACGGGAAAACGCTTGAACGCTCAGGAATGTAAATGTGTGTTTGCTTTATTCCTCATGTAATACTAATGTTTTGTGTTTCAGCTATCCGCAGCCCACTTATTGCTCTTGTTTTGCATCTTTATTGGTTTGGTTATTTTTGTCTAATGCCAGTAATCGGCCTTAAAGAAGCGGGAATGGCCTGAGGGGCGGATTAGTATTATTTCCTTTGTTTGTTTTTGTATTATTTCCTCACTGTGTGTCAACACATTATGGGAACCGCTTGTTTGGGTTGTAGAGCTGAGGTAATGTAATATGTGTATTTGACATTATTGGTTTGTGCATAATGAATTCGCTGATTCTGAGTGTGTGCGCGGTATATTTAACTATTTGGATTTTGGTTTAAAGTAGGCCTGCATAATATATCATTTCAGCATTGATATCGCAACGTGATCCTTCGCAATAGTCACATCACAGGATACGTAATGTTGAGTTTGTGTTATAAATCATCGTTTGCATGTGTTTTAGATGCCTTTAATTGGATAATGACCTTAAAATCATTTAGGCATACGAAATTGTTCTATTTGTGACCTTAACTACGATTAATTTATTGAATTATTTGTATTTTGATCATTCAGCTACCATAGATAAATATCGTTAAACTTTATTTCAATTTTATCTTTTTCCTGATTGTATTTATAGATTGTTATGCATGAAAATACTTACAACACAAGTATTTTCCTCTTTCACTTCTCATACTGACGGAGGGAGCGATTCGTTTGTGAATGAATCTCCGTTATGAACGATTCGTTCACTAGCCGACAATAATACAAGTTTCTGGCAGCGCAGCATCTCGTTGTCATATTTCTTTAGCATTGTTTGCTGATTTTATTCAACAAAACTAGCATAAGTCGAGTGTTTAGTGCGAGTTGGAGCTGCTTTGCCTTATGGTGAATGAAGTGAAGTGACTGTTATCATCAATAACGTTACCTGATTAGCACAAAAGTTCAGAACATACAAAAACGTGAAAAAACTTAATATTACCTATGAAATGTTCTCCTTTGTGCTTTGTTTTCTTTGTTTGCTCATTACTACACTCGTAGACAGCGCTAAAGTCCCGCATCTTCACGTAATAACACTGTCTTGACTAGTGCGGTTGAATGACACTTGTCCTGGGAGCACTGTACCAATGTGGCGGCGCTATTGACGCATGCTCAGGGTCCCTATGCGATATCTAGTATATATATCTTTGGACGAATATCAAAGAAAAAGAGCACGCTGGTAATATAGGAACATTTTGGTTTCAAAAACAGACACCAAACAACGGTGCATTAGATAGCTACTAGATTGAGTGTCACTAGCTATTTACAGACTATTGAGCTGAAGCTACACTACAAAACTAAAATCGCAAATCAAATCGAAATATCTGTCAAAATAAATAAATAATAAAATACAAAAATTCAAATTGCAATGAGATATTTTCCCTAAATCGCACAGCCTCAATTCCAAATGTTCTTACATTACAAATTCCTTCCAAATAAAGATATTAAGTTATCTGGTGAAATTGTTTTCATATCGAAATATATAATCGCAAAATAAAAGAAACATCCCAATGCTAGATGTTTACAGTATCGTGCAGCCCTAGCTTAAAGCTCAGTATCGAGTTGTCGAGCAAAGCATTAATGCCCTCCTACAGTGTTCGCCACCAATAAATGTTGGCAAACTGTTTACAAAGAACCTGAGATTTGGTTTTTGGGAGTTATTAAAGTGAAAATAGACCTTGTAACTCTTGAAAGAGATGAAAGCTGTGCTTGTAAGATGGCCGCTGAGTGACTTGCCCTAAAAGGACTTTGGTTTAGTGTAGTACAGGTGTGTTGCGTGGGGCAAAGTGCGCAGGTGGTGTTTCATTCTTCATGTGTTTGCTCACAGTGTGTAAGCAGAGAAACTCTTTACGTTTATCAGCACATTTACTGATTATTTGGACAGAGGCGTGTCTGTGTGATCCTTAATGGCAGAGAAGTCAAACGAGGACATTTTATCAAGAAAAATTATATATGATGTATATATACACATACATATATATATATATATATATATATATTAATTGATCTTTTTTTGTTTCTTTGTTTTTCATTTATCCATTGATTTTACTTCGGCATAATCTCTTATTTATCATGGGCCACCACAGTGGAATGAACCGCCAACTATTCCAGCATAAGTTTTGTGCAGTTGATGCCTTTACAGCTGCAACTCAGTACTGGGAAACACCTATATACTCCCAATTACACACACACACTCGTACACTACGGCCAATTTAGTGAATCTAGCACATGTGTTAGGACTGTGAGGGAAACCAGAGCACTCAGAGGAAACCCACACCAATACTGGGGGAACATGCAAACTCCACACAGAAATGCCAACTGACCCATCCGGGACCTGAACCAGTGACATGCTTGGCTTCTTGCTGTGAGGCGACAGTTCTAAACACTGAGCCACCGTGCCACCCATATCATTTAATAAGTGTATTAAAAATAAGCGGATCAAAAAGTGTCCTAAAACAATAACAGGTGCTGTTCAATAGTTTTAGGACAACGTTTTGAATCACTTCAAATGCTGACATCTGTATATTTTAATTAAATATGATTTAGCTTATTCATTCATTTTCTTTTCGGCTTAGTCCCTTTATTAATCTGTGGTCGCCACAGCAGAATGAACCGCCAATTTATCCAGCATATGCTTTAGGCAGAGGATGCCCTTCCTTCGCTACCCAACACTGAAAAACATTCACACACACACACATACACTATGGTCAGTTTTGGCATACCCAAATCACCTCATTCCACATGTGTTTGGACTGTGGGGGAAAGCGGAGCACCCGCACTAACACGGGGAGAACTAATCAAGGTTTATTTTTAAATAAATATATTTTGTATATATTTTAAATAGGTTTATTTCTTTTATTATTAAGAAACCTGAATACAATTTCTAAAAAACTAAAGGGCTAATAAAATTGACCTTATCCGTTTTTATTTTTCTATTATTACTATTTTTATTCCAGACAAACTAAAAATATTTACGAAAGGGGGCAGCGTGGTGGCTCAGTGGTTAGCACTGCCACCTCACAACAAGAAAGTAGCTGTTTCGAGCCTCGGCTGGGCCAGTTGGCGTTTCAAAGTGGAGTTTGCATGTTCTCCCGATGTTGGTGTGGGTTTCCCCCACAGTCCAAACACATGTGCTACAGGGAAATTGAACACAACTAAATTGGCTGTAGTGTATGAGTGTGATAGGTGTGTGTGTGTTTTCCAGTACTAGGTTGTGGCTGGAAGGGCGTCCGCTGTGTAAAACTTATGTTGGAATAGTTGGTGGTTCATTCCGCTGTGGCCACCCCTGATAAATAAGGGAGTAAGCTGAAGGAAAATGAATGAATAAATAAAAGAAAACACTAAAACATCCCCTCAAAACTATAATGAATTGCTTTACATATTATCCATGCGTGTTCATTCATTGATAAACCTGCTTGTTGACTATTGAATGAGCAGAAAGTGTGCAGTCTGAGTGCTTTTCGTTTTACTCTTGTTTCTCGGACACTCAGACTCACCTTGATGTCGAAGTTGCAGTCGAAGCGTCTGATGAGGACGATGAAGGCGCTGCTGAGGTTTTCCCTCTGTGGTGGAGGCTCGATCGGCACACAGGCGTTTTCAGGACGAGCCCCGATCAGAAAACCCTGCGCAGAGAAACACAAACACACACCAGGAGGTCATTAACACTACACTATCAGAGAGCCGACAGCGCCCTCTGCTGGAGCAAACACACACTCACATACAGCTGAAGATCCCCCCGGAGATTCACTCATAACTCCTCTCTAATAACTGATTTATTTAATCTTTGCCATGATGACAGTAAATAATATTTCTTTAAGAACGTAACTTAAAGAGTTCCACAGGGTTCAGTATTAGGGCCTCTTCTTTTTACTATATATGCATAAATATTATTGATCAAAATATCAAAACATGTTCATTATTATGCGGATGATACAGTCATATACACGGCGGCATCTACACCTAATCTGGCCCTTTCTCAACTACAGATCGCTTTCAGTGTACTTCAACATAATTTATCTGAGTTTTAAATGCCGATAAAACAAAACTTAATGCTCTTTTCAAATTCAAAACACGCAAAGCAAAAGTTAGGTCCTATTACTACTGCTCACAGTGCAGAGATTGAATTGGTGTCCCAGTACAAATATCTTGGAATTTTAATTGACGATACACTTTCTTTAAGTTCTCAGATTCAGCAATTGGTGAAAAAATTAAAAGTCATTTCAGGCTTCTATTTTAGAATTAAGAACTGCCTTTCTTTTGATGCTTTTGTTTTGTTATCTATATGCATGCTTCATCTCATAGTCTGAATGCATTGGATATTGTTTACCATGGTGCACTAAGATTTATAACTAATTCTAAATCCCTAACGTAGGCTCAAGCATTGCATATCCTTGTTTACAAATCTATACTGGGTTTACGCCAATCACATCTACAGAATTACATTTGTCAAAAGCCTGTTCTTAACCAGTCTTCGGTAACATGATATTTATTTACTGTCTTTTCCTAAAGTGCGGACTGAGAGGGGAAAAAAGGCTTTTAAGTATGTATGGAATAATGCATGGAAACTTCGCCTGGTCTGATGAGTCCTCATTTCTGCTGCCACATTCAGATGGTCGGGTCAGAATTTGGTGTCAACAACATGAAAGCATGGATCCATCCTGCCTTGTATCAACGTTCATGCATGCAGTGGTGGTGTAATGGTGTGGGGAATATTTTCTTGGCACACTTTGGGCCCATTAGTACCAATTGACCATCGTGCCAGCGCCTACCTGGGTATTGCTGCTGACCATGTCCATCCCTTTATGACCACAGTATACCCATCGTCTGATGGCTAATTCCAGCAGGATAACAAGCGAATAATCTCAGACTGGTTTCCTGAACATGACAATGAGTTCACTGTACTCAAATGGCTTCCACAGTTACCAGATCTCAATCCAATAGAGCACCTTTGGGATGTGGTGGAATGGGAGAATGGGATCATGGATGTGCAGCTGACAAATCTGCAGCAACTGCATGCTATCATGTCAATATAATGCAAAATCTCTGAGGAGTATTTCCAGTATCTTGTGGAATCTATGCCACAAAGGATTAAGGCAGTTCTGAAGTCAAACGCGGGTCAACCCGGTACCAGTAAGTTGTACCTAATAAAGTGGCCGGTGAGTGTGTGTCTGTGTGTGTGTTTGTATGTATGTATGTATGTGTGTGTGTGTGTGTATATATATATATATATATATATATATATATATATATGTGTGTGTGTGTGTATATAACGTGTGTGTGTGTATATATTGAGTGCTCAGGTTAAAAAAATACAAATGAAAAAGAATATTTTTTCCATTTCTCACTGAATATAGGCTATATCTTTTGTTTTACATTTTAATTATATTTGACAGATTTAGTAAACCAAATTATTTATTAAAAAAAAATTTGAGTCACCAAACAGCTTTAGAAATAGACAGATAATGCATTTAAATGCATGCAAAATATTGCACAAAAATAATACAATCTAAAAAATGTAAACTAAATCTGACATATTTTTGCTTCTTTTTGATTTTTCCTCACTTTAAAATTTGTGCTAAACGTTTTTCCTAACATATACATTTAGGCTACTGATTTCTGGACCATTATTGCAAGTTATTTTGTTAGATAAGATCCAGATTTGTCTTCAGGGCCGACTCATCTAATGTATGTGCACACATATTATTATAAAGCATCCTGCAGAAAATGTCCTATTAAAACAGAGATTTGTGAGTAATAAATGCCGAGCACTGAATATATGTTGTTTTCTTAATTAATTTTTTTATGTTTAAAGAGCAAACTTGTTTTTCTGGATTGAAAGCATGAAATCATGAGAGCAGCACATGACTGAAGACGAGTGAAGGAAAACCACAAAAACAAACCCTGAAAACCGATGATAAGAACAAATCCAGCACTTCAGCAGCTCACGCCACACTTCTCTCTTCACTTCACTTCATTTATGCATTTAGACTGAACAACTATACAAGATAAAGCTCTGTGTTTTATTTCTAGTTAATTTAGACAGAGAAATAGCTTAGAAAAAGGCCAGATTATGGTTAATATTAGAGGAATGTATTAAAGATATAAATAAATACAGCTGAAGCCTTTATTACTATTAGTTTTTGGAACATTTCCCAAATGATGTTGAACAGATTCAGGAATCTTTCACAGTATTTATAAAATTATTTTTTTCTTCTGGAGTAAATCTTATTTGTTTCATTTCTGCTAGAATAAAAGCAGGTTTTAATTGTTTTAAAATATTATTATTTTAATTATTCAATATTATTTATAATTATTCAATATTATTAGCCTCCTTAAGCAATATTTGTTTTGGATTGTCTACTGAACAAACCACTGTTTACCCTGACCTAGGGCTGGGCGATTTTTTACGATTAAGTCGAATTTTCGTTTTAAGACGTTTTAATTTTATATTAAATCGAGGTATCGCAATTTTTCTTTTAAATAAAAATATTAGATACATTATAATGGCACTAATGCGCTTTGGTTTACTCTCTGTAGTAAGCAGGTCGCACACTAGAAGCGACCTGCTTAACTCTGCCTGACTGCCTGTCTGGGTTTCAATCATGGTAGTGACAGACTGAACACAGAGACTGGACAGCCTAATTTAACCCAATGCATGAAGTTGTGGGCATGCATCGCAGAGCTGGTGCAAATACAAGCATTTAAGTGTCTTCAGTTGTGTATTTTTCTTTTGTTAATACCCTTGCATCAAACGCGCTTTGGTCCACTCTCTCACGCTACTCCAGCACTGCCTGACGAGGGGATTTACATTCAGACGAATGCAACAAGTAGATTCTACATGACTTCACGCTTTACTAAGTCACGTCTGTATGGATTGTCAAGACATATTCCCTTATCAAGTCGATAAACTCGATCTCTTAACATGTATGAAGGACGTGAAAAACCTGCCATGTGAAAAACTGCACCTATCTTAGTTCAAATCGTTGATCTTAAGTTTGGTTTGATCACAAGGAGAGGTGAACAGCTGTAGCAGTGAAAAGTACCCACCGGTCCCGCCCCATGACGTCATTTAGCGGACCTAGTTGAAACCCAGTCAGGCAGCATAATACAGAGAGTGATGCAAAGCGCATCAAATTATCAATATTTAAAAAAGGGGAAAAAATAATAGAATAAATATATTATTTTATATTAGACACACATCTGGTGCTTTTATTTGCTCCTGCTATACGTGCACAACTTAGTGATTTAGCAGACGCTTTTATCCAAAGCCACTAACAAATGAGGACATGGAAGCAATTTACACAACTATAAGAGCAACAATGAATAAGTGCTGTAGGCAAGTTTCAGGTCTGTAAAGTCTAAGAAGGAAAGTATTAGTAAATTGTTTATTTATTTTTTATTTTTTTGAGTACAGTTAGTGGTATATCCAGAGAGGCAATTGCAGATTAGGAAGGAAAGTGAAGACTAAATAGTTGAGTTTTTAGTCGTTTCTTGAAGACAGCGAGTGACTCTGCCGTTCTGATGTAGTTAGGGAGTTCATTCCACCAACTGGGCAGATTGAACGCGAGAGTTCGGGAAAGTGATTTCTTCCCTCTTTGGGATGGAACCACGAGGCGACGTTCATTCACAGAATGCAAGTTTCTGGAGGACACATACATCTGCAGAAGTGAGAGCAGATAAGAAGGAGCAGAGCCAGAAGTCGCTTTGTAGGCAAACATCAGAGCTTTGAATTTGATGCGAGCAGCAACTGGCAGCCAGTGCAAACGAATGAGCAGCGGAGTGACATGTGTTCTTTTAGGTTCATTAAAGACCACTCGTGCTGCAGCGTTCTGGAGCAGCTGAAGAGGCTTGATGAGTTAACTGGAAGCCCCGCTAGTAGAGAGTTGCAGTAATCCAGTTTGGAGAGAACAAGAGCTTGAACAAGGAGTTGAGCTGCATGTTCAGATAAGATAGGCTTTACAGTTTCCATGTTCATTCCTTTACTTCCACTGTATCTTTTTGAGAAAAAGGCAGCAGCATTACAACCTGTCATTCAATCAGAAGACAAAGTCAAAGCCGAGCTGACAGCAAATCTTTCCTAGGCTTAGCAAAACTTGCAAAAAATACCTCTGTATTCCTGCAACTGCAATATTTACACAAGTATATATATATTTTAAATCTTCTGCAACGATATTTAACTCGTGAATTTGTTTTACATTTATTTACACCTTGTTGACCAATTTATGCATGGCCATTAAAAATGCAATGTTCCTTAACCAGATGGTTTTTCAAGTTACTCATAAAGAGAATGTTACTTCAGTCATGTTGTTGTAATGTTTTAAGTTGACTAGTTACAAAAAAAAAAAAAATTCTAAATCAAATTGTGAAACTTTATAAAATCACATCGGTCAAACTTTATAAAAAACTTAAGATTTTTTTTTTTGCCATATCGCCCAGCCCTGACCACAGTTTACTTTACTCTAATTAAAGTAGTTAAACCTTTAAATGTCACTTTAAGCTGAATACTAGCGTCTTGAAGCATATCTAGTCAAATATTATTTACTGTCTTCATGGCAAAGATTAAATAAATCAGTTATTAGAAATGAGTTATTAAAACTAGAAATGTGCTGAAAAAATGTCTGTT